CTCCTTCGGCAAAGGGCCATGTTGTGTTGTGCCATGGTTTCCTTTACCCTGCTGCCTCTTGCACATATTCATTTTGTTATGACAGGTTTATTTAAAAGGTGGTTTAGACCTAGCTCTAATTCTGAACAGGGCTTTTAACACTCTCTTCTGTTTTAAATTAATTCCGTCTAATCCTTTGTCACTTCTAGGGCATGTAACGGGAAAGCTTTCAATCAATTGCAAAATGACAATGTCCAATTAAGATCGTCATATGCACAGCTTGTTCAAATGGCTGACCACTAACCAATCCAAATCATCATTTGTAATTTACAATTTATCACAAACCTTTGTGTTGCGGGGCCCCGTTCTTCTCTCGCATTCTATTTATTTTCTCTGATCTTTTCTTTTAAGTTCTTACCTTTGTCTTCAGGTTTTGGGCTTTTGTTTTCCTTCTCCAAATCCTGTTGCATCGTTTTCCATCCCCATATGCTGTTCTTCTCTTATTCCTCTTCACTTCAATCTTTCTTTCCATTCTAACTGCTCCATGTCCCTCCTTATCCTCTTATCCCCCACTCTACCTTCTTTATTACTTCACATCAGCTTTCTTATTATCTTCATTCTTTTTCATTCTCGTCTTTCATTTTCTTCTCAATCGTCTCTTTTCATACTTTTTCATTCTTCTTTGCTTTCTTCTCATCCCTGACCCTCATCTACCCTTTCACCTTCATCCTGATCTTTGTATCTTCCAAAACATGTAAAAACGAATTTGAGTACATGTACAAGTCACATACACAACAAAATTACCAGAGTTGTATGACAAAATTTGTCATGTTCCCTACAACTTTGTGCTAACGAAATTCCCTGTTCATCAATCATGTGTTCATATGCGAAACAAAAACATACTTGTGTAAACCGTAAGATATCCAAATACATGAAACTTTAGGTAGATTTGTTTTTCTTTCCAATACCAGTGTTGTTTAATTCATTAGCAGGTACATGTTAAATTGACAAATCTCACAGCATATAACCAGTACATTGCTAAGTGAACATTTGCTTTTGTTTGTTTTTTTCACCACAATGCTGCAATGAGGAGTAAATTTTGGCATCACTCAAAAATTACAACTGAGCGCTTTCACTTGAAATTGTTCAAATTCTCTTCAGTATATGATCACACATTCAGAAAATGAATTCACAAATAAAACATATTTATGCAAAATGGCTATATATTCACAATTTTATAAAGTGTATATATGGATACGCATTCAATTAGCTAATTTTATGGGAGTTGCAGAGTGTTTCAAAATTTAACTGATCCTGATGCTGTTTGGTTCAACATCTAGGGTACATAAACTGAAAGCAGGGAATATCAAGTGTTACTTTTTTTCACAGTAGCAGCTTAATTAATAAGCTGCATGATTTTGTCATGACAAACACTTTGGTTCAACAACTTTCCCCAAATTGGATTTCTCACTGCCAGTGCCCATTCATACAGTATGAGGCAGTATAGTCCGTTAAAAATACCAACAACAAAAATGCAGTGGCAAAATTAAACAAACATCAAGTGCAATCCAGAGTTCTGCCCTGTAAAACACGGTTCTGCGAGTCCATAAAGGGACCATCATTGTGCACAGCTCACCCCTGAAAAATAGTGACTCTTGCTATAAATCTTGTACAGGCACAGTTTCCTTTGAGGCAGTCCACCATATTTCATGATCCTCTCAATGGGTATTTTGTTCCACACTAAATGCACAATTTTCCTACGCCTTTATATCTTTGTTTTCAAGACATTTTAAAGATACGGTATGCCTTTTTTGATGAAATTTAATTACAGTTTAGTTTACATAGTTTATAACTCTGCATAAATCAAAGTCGCACAAGTTGAACTTTCCAAAGTAGAATCTATTTTGGTTACCAAACTACGGTATACAAAATATGTATTGCTTAAAATTCCCAAGTCGAATTTTGCACTCTTCAAACTATTTTGGGGGGTCTTAACAGTTTCAACTTATGCAGAGTTATCTCTAGTATTTCTGAATCCTTCATAACTGGCATCACCTGACCTTCAATCACAATAAAACTAAACACATGTTTAAAAGAAATAAAACAGACTGATAGTATTTCAGTGTCCATCTCGAAGCAAATATTGTCACTTACCCTTTGATAACAAATCTCTTCATTTTAATTTCATAATACATTGCCCTCCTACACAAACCCAGCAGGCTTGCGAGCCCCCAATACGTTTACCTGTAATGATCAAATAAAATATATTATGCACTATTTAGGTTGCCTTTGCTCCTATCAAACACATTTATAGTGTCAACTGTACAGAAATAACACAGTACTGAACTAACTACATTTTTTAAAGGGAAAATTCAGCTTTATAATAAGTTGGTTTTAATAAAAGCAAACAAAATGAGAGAAACAAATTAGTGAATTAGATTAGGTTTTTGTATGGGTTTATAAAAATTTATTTGCAATAATCATATTTAGGGTAACTGTATGATTAAAAATTTCCTGAAGGGAAAATATGGAGTCTTGGGAATTGGGAGGGGACCTCGTAATATACATCACAATCATAGTTGCAAATTTGTGTTTGATTGATTGAACCTTTAAAAATTCATTCATTATTATTTGTAATTATTTTTTGGCTCAAATTTTACTGATTTGTTTCTCTCATTTTCTGCTTCTATCAACATCAACTTAATATAAGGATGGACTTCCCCTTTAACTATCTAATTATGTACATAGATACACACATATATTCCCTGCTTTAAGACTTAACACTGCCAAGTGTGGCTTGTGTCTTTGTCTGCTATTATCAGAGGTAATTAAAAACAATATTCTCTTTTGAATTCCTTTTGGATGCATTAACTAAAATCCATCTCGTACAATCACTCTTGCATGAAGTGTTGTCCTTAGGTTATAGTTGTTTAGCAGATTTAGACTGTCACAAATATCTGCAATGTAGTAGTCATGAGGTTTATGAGCATATACAACGCCTACCTACATATACACTATATGATATGATACCCGGTTTGTAATTTGAAGGGCTATAATAGATGTTATCTAATCATATTTTTAATAACAATGACAATTGTCATATTTCTTCAACAAATTTGCTCACATCCAATCAAATGCAATGATTTCAGTAGCTTATAACAGTTACTGTAACGTAACAGTCATCAATGCAATCAATCGCAGAAATCTCTTGTTGATCAATTTGCTAAGCTTTGTATTACGAAGCCCAGATAGCAAGTTGTATGAATGGGGTCCAGATGTGCAATATACATGAACCCCACCTACTGCTCACAATGTGCATTCCACTGAAAACTTACAGCTGACACTTACAACAAAAAAAAGGAAGTATACTACCATTCAAATCTCATTTGAAAACAGAATTAACATAAGACATTGACACGCATTCAGTTTGAATTTTGAAATATTGTTCAACTCGTAAGTGTGCTCCACCAATTTAACTGCAATGTGATATTCTATTGCTTTACATTCTATCAAAATAATGTCCAGAAAAAGAAAAGAAAACATTCAGAAAACACAAAGTAAGTATTGGCTCAAAACTATTTCCAGTACACAATTTATAAAATGGAAACAATGTACTCGAAAACCACATGCGAAACATAGCAAAAAAAAATATAAAGAATTTGAAAACTAAAGATACTATTTTTCAAGTGAATAAACAAGAAACTAAAAGGATAGGAACATAATACTTTGAAAGTGTATATATAATTACTATGCAAATATATTAAAATGCTGACTTATACAAACAAGGGAAAGAGAAACGATTCTCAAAACTGTACAAAGCTTGCATAACACAGAGCTAAAATATTTGCATTTGCAATATTTGTACACTGCATTAAATTCAGCATCGGTCCTCTCTCAAAGATCTTCAAGAACACATTTCTTAAATTTTAGAGGAAAATAATAAAAAGCTTGACTGGACCTTGTTAACTCTTGTCAATTCAAAGAGAATCTAGAGCTTTTAATTGAATACAAATATGATTGATTATTAATTTCAACAATATTTTTCTGTAAATAAAACATTAAACTCTAAATGGAATCACAGTTCGCTTTGGAATTGTAAAACAAAGTCGATTTAAAACTTTAACGCAATTTGTTTTGAATGGACAGGGAGGGGGAAATACAGAGATAAAAGATTATAGAAAAACAGGAGAGAGAGAGAGAGAGAGAGAGAGATGAAGAAACAAAAGACAAGCAAAATTATGTTCTCACTGAAATATTGGCACCTTTTTTTCTGCACCCCCCCCCCCCCCCAAGGTTTTTCCTTTGTTCATCCTATATAGTTACTCTGCTAAACAGAATATTTTGCTAAGTACCAACTTGACAGTCAGAGAGGTATTTGCCGGTAAGTGCTTTTGCAATATATCATGAAAACTGATGCAACTAAAATGATGTTCATAACATGTAATTGTATTTGCTTAGTCCTTGATATAAAAAACTAAGTTTGTACAAAACCTTCATGCCTGTGATATTTGACAAAAATGCAACTAGACTCTCTAACATTTGCTCTGGACAGCGACATTTGCTTAGTCCAGGCTTTCTTTCATCTTATAAGGTAGAGGTTAGAGTAAATACTGGCTTTTAGGTTAGACTTAAGAAGCGTACAGACTAGAACGTCGTATAAAGAAACGTCATATAAATAAAACTAGTTTTGAAGAGGTAATAATAATAATAGGTCCGTTATATAGCGCAGCTTCTATATGAATATACTCTACTGCGCTTAATACAAAGTATCATATTATTATTATAGCTGAGCTGCGATAATAAGGTGCTAAAGCATTCTAGGAATTTCTTCCTACCGGGTACCCATTTACTTCACCTGGGTGGAGAGTGGCAAATGCAGATTAATGACTTGCCGAAGGACATTAGTGCCATGGTGGGACTCGAATTGCAAACCATGTGATCCACAGTCTGGTGACATATCCACTAGACCATGACACCTCTGTGGTTTAGGTCAAATGATAAGACACTGTGACAGCTGGCCAATCATTAGTGATAAGCCTTCTGACTACAGCTGGACTCTTGTTTGAAACGATGCTTTAACACGCGTCTCCCAATACAACGTTTTGTTATATGAAGTTCCCTCATATATCATTCACACTAGGTACAGTTATAGTGTACATGTCTATGTAGCTATACAATGAATTCCACAGTCTGAACGCAGTGAGGTATACATATAGCAGTAGACCCATGACGGACATTAGGCATTGGACTAGTGTTGATGTCGTAGCAAGAGTCCCTGGAGCGTATGTCGTACCATCATACCAACATGGTATACACTCGTCTAAACATACACGTTTGCATTTCTATATGCAGTACTTAGCGCATTACAAAGCAAAGGAACCGTACCTCTTGAATGGTCAAAAGTCAATTCACATGAAATATAACTTCACAAGTAGAACAAATTTCATATACGAACAAATCTATTTACAAGTCAGGCATATAAAGTATTTTTTTTACAAATTGGCTTGAGTGGACATATATATATATATACACACTATCTATTTTCTTAATACGTTTCATATGGGCAGGAAATTAATAAAACACATTGTCATTATAAATACACCAACATAGATCATAATGCCAACAAAAAAAATGAAGCTATGTGAAAATGCAAGTTTTTCATAACACAATAAAAAACAATATAAAACATAAATGAAATAATTATAAAATCAATTCAAGAAATGTTCCAATGAGAATTATTGGGTTGACAACAGAACAAACAACATAAAATTTGGTATACCATACATGTATATGACTCTACATGTGTACAGCATGCTTTTACTATATGGTGACCAAATATAATTTCATAAACAGGGAATATTTATCTAAAGAGATGCAGTTTTTCTTCTTGTGCTTTTTTTTTAATGACTTTATGGTAGAACATACAGAAGTGGAACTACTGTAGCAACAACAAAAAACCACACAAAGAAGGGGTTAATGACAAAAACATGTGCAGCATCGTTTTTTAAATGATTAATAAACAAACAAAATAAAAATGCCCAAATGCTCATGTGCATGCACACTATTTTTCATTATTTTTCAAATATTTTTAGGAAGGCAACAGTAATAGTCCATGTCTGTCTGTGAACGCTGTCATAGGTAGTACACACACATTTGTTTTTCGCTATATGTTACAAATTCAAGAATAGTGGCACACGATGTATAGGTGATTTTTTTAATATTTTTTTTATAGTAGACGTGAACGTTTGTGCGAAGGTGATCCTTCCACCGTGGGGGCGATGTTGGTGCTGGAGCGTTTTCGAGAGTCGGGATGGCTTACCAGGTCCTCTGGGAAGAGATCGTGGTTCGACAAGTGGCGTCGCCGTGACGATGAGTGATGTGAAGAGGGCGACTGGGAAACCCCAATGTTGGCCATTGCCCCATTCAGTCCTAAAATGTAATCATTTACAAATAAACAAAATCAGAATTACAATTGTATTATCTTTAAAAAAAAACTATCTTAAGTGAAAATGATATTTCTTAATAGTGTCTTAATAATATCCTAAAATTATTGTTTTCTAAGATTACAAATAAAACCATTTTTTAGGGGCACTTGTAATTGAAAATATGTCTTGATTGATACATTTTGATACATTAAATGTAGAAAAAGTATTGCTTTCTTCAACCACTTTTTCTCTATACACAATATTCTTGGAATATTGAAATCACATTTCAGTACTCAAGTTCTTATCATATCACAAATTTATAGGCCTGTCTTCATCAGCTCTAGATTGCCAAATAGCCCGCTATTTCAGATTTGGGAAGCAATTCTGAAGTTACAAATCGCGTCTTCATCAGCTCGAGACTTGACCTCAAGACTTGACCTCGAAACTTGAAGCTCGAGAAATTAGCTCAAGATATTTTGCTCAGCATTCGCGCATTGTGCAAGTCTTCGGGATAGCGGGATATTTTGCAAACTAGCCCAAGATATCTTGGCATGATTACCTCGACCAAATATCACGCTAATTGCAACTTCGGGCTGATGAAGATGCAAATTAGCTGGATAATTTGCAATCAGGAAAGTTCAAATAGCGGGTTATTTGGCAATCTCGAGCTGATGAAGACAGGCCTATGTTATTCCCCAAACCTACCATGCAGAGCAAGGGCATCTCTAAAAGGCTGAAGGTCATCCACAGGCTCCCCTAACCCTGTCCTCTGGGCCTCACGAGGCGGTGAGTGGGTGCGGGGAGACGACCTGTCTGAGGGGCTGCGTGGTACTCCGTGGGACGGCCTGATCCTGCCAGGTGGTGCCTTCCCGCAGAGGAACGCCAGGAGATCCTCGCGCCGTATGTGTCTTCTGCGCTTCTTGACCCAGGCCACAATGTCTCGGGTGCGGCGCTGGTGCCCAATGCTAATACCTAGATCTAAGCTACCTTTTTGTGCATCTGTGCTTTCTGCAGGAGAAAGAGGAAGCAGACAGGATAAAGAGAATAAGAAGAGCTTTTAATAAAACAATTATTCAATTCAATTCAAAATCATTTTAAGAACATCAAATAAAACATCAGATTGTACATTCCTAAATAATTACATTTGAACAAGAAAAGGAGGACAGCAAAAAGTATACCCTTTTACAAAATAAGGGCCAGTTAGTATGTTATTATTTGAATGCAAGCCCACTTTTGTGGAAATCAAATGTAACACTGATGGGGATCTACAGCTGCTCAGCTAGCCCTTAAAAAATAATTTGGGCTTCATTGCTGAATTCCCCCATTTGCCCACCATATCTCAAGCCCTTAGCCCTTTTACGCCTTTGGTCCAACCAGTATCAAGCTATCAATTTTGCTGGTTGTAACCCATGCATAAAATGCACAACAATACACAAATGACCCTCTACAGAAAACAGTCATGAGACTAAGAGCTGCATGTAGGCCCATGTGATGTAAGTACATAGAGTTGTCCTACATATTTATCTCTTGATAGAAGGATGATTGTGCATGACACATACTGCTCCTAGTAAACACTGATAAAGTTAAATCTCTAGAAAAAACAAATTTGTAACTGTCATCACCTTGCATTTCTTTGGACAATTTCTTGGGCAATGAATGCAATAGGCAGGGCTAAACAACAGGCATCCGGAAACACATGGGCACCAACAGTCTGGACCCCTCCACCCCCCCCCCCCCCCAAAAAAAGAAAAGACAATATTTTGAGGCGATTTATTGCAGCATGTGTGAACATACCCTTGGGGAAAGACAAACTCACCTTTATATAACTGTGTGACTGATCCAGCAGCATTTTGGAAAACTAGCCAAAGAGGTATATGGATATTGCTTTGGTTAAGACGTTCTGCAAAATAAAACGAGATAATAAGAGAGTTAGAAAGACAACAAAGAGATTGAAGAGATAGCAAATGAATTAACCACCCTTACTTACCAAAAGGCAATTAAAATTGAACAATGATTACGGTAGCTGTTCTAATTTTTTTCCTTCAATGTGGTCAAGTAAATCCACACCGATGCTGAAACAAAAGACACCTGCAATCAATTTTCCAGTTCACTAGTATAAAGTGGGTAAAAATATATTGGTAATATACCTTACTGATAAATGTACAGTAAATGTAATTTTTTACATATTGTTTACTTTGTCCAATTAAGACATGTTCAGATAAGACGTGACAAACTACAGCATATTAATTTATGATGAAACAACGGAGCTAAAGTTTTCAGATTTTAAAGATCAGTTAACTTACTCTATACATTGTAGACTGTATATCTGGGCAAATGGGGTTTAAACTACATTTGTATGAAAAGATTCAGGTGATTTTAAACATTTGACCTGGGGTGACACTAAGATTAAATCAGTACAAAAGAAATAAATCATATCCTACGCTTGACCTACAGGCTATCTATAGACCAAAGACATGATTTTGAGACAAAATAGTGTTCAGAGGGTTGTTCATAAAACCATCATATGGACAAGATCACTGACATCTTTAACCGTCTTTGGCAAGACGAGCAACAATATTCCAGACAAGAGTCTTATTGGGGCTTCAAACCTGTCATGTCCTTGTAGAACACCATCACAAGCTATCTTTAAAGATAAAGTTGAGTGTATTGTGAAAGAAACGGTGTGGACACGATCAGAAAAAGTTGATCATGTAACATATACATGTACATGTAAGTATTGGTGTGAACTGCAAGGTTCTGGAGTCATCAAAATGATAAGAAAGTTGGCCAAGTCTTGGTAAAGTAAAAAGCACTGTACACAGAAAGATGTATATGGGACTACACAAACATGTGGCATAAAAATCGGGCCTCATTACTATTACTTGTCATATTTAAAATATGGAGGCATTTGAAGAGCCATGCTTTTCAGGGAACATTTTTCCTCTGATGTTCTTCCAGACTTGCATAATAACAATGATAACGCTCACAAATAATTTTTCATCTCTACCCAGAACTCGACTTTCTCTTTAAGTTAGTCTAGATGGGCAAGGAAAAAAAAAAGAACAGAAAATTGATACAACAATTTATTTACTGGTACTGATCCCCAAGCTCTTACTTTTATGAACAGTTCTGTAAATTAACTAGTACTTGTACGTAATTCAAGCATAGAAACAATCTTGCCATTTCTTTTAAGAACCCCATCTCAAGGCAACTTTAAGTTAGTTTACGAGGCTCAGCAAAAAATGAAAACTGAAAATGTATTTCAAAACCATTTATTGATCTTCAAGCTCTAATTTCCCTGATCAGTTCTTATCGTTTTTAAAACAAAAACATTACACAAAGCATACAAACCTTTAACGGTTTTAATGCCTTAACAAGTAAATGAGATAAATATTATTTAAACACACACTGTACATCGGTGACAGGTCTACCGTCTACCATAGAAAAGTAGCCGAAGATCAAACAGTCTATAATTACAGACCCATGAGAATGACAAAAATTATCATTTAGGTCTTTCTCTAAATATTTTCCCTTTCCAAGCGTTATATTGACATTTATCATATAATTATTTAATAACTTATTGTTAAAAATGTCATAAAAACAACGAGACTTATTCGCGCACAAGGGTTTACAGCTGTTTATCAAAAAATGTGATCCATCAAATATAAGGTAATATCATAATTTGCAATTGCAAGGCAAGATATCATACAATCAGTTGGTACCACTTTTTACTCAAAATTTTGAGAAAATCTGCTCTCAAAATGAAGATTTTCAGACCCTTATCGTTAAGTTGATAATTTTTTCGCAAATGACTGCAAAATTTGCTGATTTTTTGTCAATATTTTCAATAGTTTGTACCCAATTCCAAAGAAAATTTCATGTCTTATGGAATCTTATTTTCCTCTTTCCATTGGTGATACAGATTTTTCGAAATCTTACTGATCTTTTGAGAAAGATCAAGTAAACTTAAGTCATGCCCGAACTTTGGTCATACGTCCATAGGCCACTCCAGCAAAGCATAGAGAGTCAATGCTAATGGGTATCGACCTCTAGCACTGCATACATGATGTGAGGCAGGGACCTAGAAGTCTATACACAAATATACACACCACACAATATCGCATAGACTGTACACAATCATGTCAATGCAGCTCAAAGTTTGACACTAGACTTACAATTTGAATTTTTTAATTATTCTTTTTAACATCAGTAAGTTGAAAAAAATGTATTTTACTGCTATTTAGGTGTCATTAATTGTCACTAAAGTACCGATTTTGAGTGAAATCAGTTGAGTTTTGTACAGTGGTGTTTGAAATGTTGAGAATTAAAAGCACAGCTTTTACTACACAGGCAGGATAGTGATGCTCCTATGTGTCATAGGCATACACATCGCTCATGCATCGTCGTACAGTATACATCCAGTCCAGATCTAACTCCGGGAAGCTCCAACACCGGCGCCGCAGGCGTCGGAGCTTCGGGTGGTTTCGTTGTTTCCTCGTGAGGGCTAGTAAAACAGCCGATTGGGTGATATTATCGTTAAATCTACAAAGGGAGTACTTACAATTTTTACATCATTGTGTGCAAGACTCCTCAGGGCTCAACTCCAATCACTTGAATGTATAATTTGAAGAAGTCTTTGATGGGAAAAAAAGGTTAATTCGGGGTACTACACCAACGATTCTTCCATGACCATGTCGCAGCGTTGATTCATAATAGCGATGAGAAGGTACGCATGCGCGGCAGTGGCCAAGAAAATATGCTATCGAGCGCCTATCGCTCGAAATCGCTGAATATGCACGAGGCCGATCGCTCAAAATCGCTGAATATGCACGAGGTTGAGAAGGGCTCTGTTTGTTCGAGTCGTGCATATTCAGCGATTTCCAGCGATCGGTGCTCGATAGCATGAATATTCATATTTTCTTCGCCACTGCCGCGCATGCGTACCTTCTCATCGCTATTTTGAATCAACGCTGCGACATGGAAGAATCGTTGGTGTAGTACCCCGAATTAACCTTTTTTTCCCATCAAAGACTTCATCAAATTATACATTCAAGTGATTGGAGTTGAGCCCTGAGGAGTCTTGCACACAATGATGTAAAAATTGTAAGTACTCCCTTTGTAGATTTAACAATAATATCACCCAATCGGCTGTTTTACTAGCCCTCACGAGGAAACAACGAAACCACCCGAAGCTCCGACGCCTGCGGCGCCGGTGTTGGAGCTTCCCGGAGTTAGTCCAGATCCAGATAGGCACAGTCACAGTGCAGAGACAGTGCACGTGCAGAGGTGGTTTCGTCATCTGGCCATGTTCGTGAAATGACCACCACTCAACCACAAAAACCCTAAAAATTGCAGAGACGCCAAGTTCAAAGATCAGCTATTCGGGTATTACGGACGTCTATAGCGGTTTTTTAAAATCGCGCGCGCATTGTGCGTGAGACCGTTTTCAGACCCTCTAAATGCGCGACGTCAAGCACTCACGCATAATGCGCGACACTTGCTCTGAAATTGCATGAATTTACTAACTCAAATCTTTATACGTTGTTACATGTACAAGATCTAGAAGTAACGATGAGTAAAATGAAATTAATCAATGAAAATTGAAATAACATTAAGACAGTGTGAGATGAACTGGAAAAAAATGTCTCAACTCTCAACATGTCTGGAATATTTGGAAATTTAGATGCAACATGAATAGGTCTAGTCAGAGGAAGTTCTATTTTTGTTTCTTTCACAACTAGACCTACAATATAATAAATATGAATCTGATGATTTAACACACCTTTATATAATGTGGTTACAGCACTAGCACAATTCTGAAAGGAATACCAAAGTTTTTCTGAAGCAAACTGTTTCTCTTGCGGGAGACGTTCGTCCAAATTTGGTTCTAATTCCCGGTCCAATTCCTCCAGACATTGCGCCTCCCAACTTGAGGAAGAAGTCCATATTTCGCTTCCAGATTCATCTCCTCGTTCGGGCCTTTCATTCATGTTGTAGACCCTGTATATCAGATCACAAAGATAGTCCAAACTCTGAATTTCAGAGCCAAATCGTTCTGTTTAACCGCAAATATCATGGGCTGTTTTCACCGTCTCTCATCCAAATTCTCAACAATGCGTATTCATTCCATACAGAGATGTGTGTGTATACGTACGTATACGTACAACGTATGTTAGCCAGTGGCGTAATATAATAGCAGCAGCAGTACACAGTACGTATACCGCACCGACCGTATTTACAATCTACAAAGAATTGAGCAAAGACGTCAATATCTCGATCTAAATTCAATCTAAAAAAATAATTTGATGGTACTGATTTATTACTAAAAAGTATTATTAATAGTTATAATTATATATTTAAAAAATTATAAAAAATGTATAAATGCTAAAAATATTTTTTTAATATTCAATAATGTAAAAATTTAGGGAATAAAATATTTTAAAAGAAGAAATCAGTATATTTATTACCAAATTCAATATTGTATACAACCGCAAATTTTTGGGTAACTTCAGATAATTTGCATGTCTAGGAGGATTGTCAGAGTGAAGAAAAAGGGGTGTCACTCTCTCCAGATCCAGCGATGTATATGTCCAAGTCAGTTTTGTAACATTTATGAAAATAAAACTTTTACTAACGCATATCGTAAATATGGGATAAATGATTCATCAAGATTAGGATATAAATGTTTTGTCAAGATAGGAGCAATTTTTCTACTTGTATTTACAAAATAAATACCATTTTTATGTGAACGTAGCTAATTGGGTAACAACTTCTCCACAAGGAATTATTATTTAAAATGCGCCTTAATTAGAGCCATATAAAATTATGCTTTGGTGTATAGACTCCAGGGGGCGCGTAATGGGGGGGGGGGGGGGCAAAGGGTGCCCCCAATGCTGAACTTGCCATTGGGTGCAACCGAAACTAGATGAGATTGAAACAATTAAAAGTTTTAAAACGAAAACAAAAGGGAAGGCAAACTGTAAGTATATTCAGAATTAACTGAGCATTGAATCCGCCGGGCAACCTACGTTCATTTTTTAATTATTTTCATTATTTTCAGTATGCGAAAATCTTCCAAATCTCGTCGCTAATTCGCTCCCCTTGCATGATGTGCTTCAGGATCTTGTACTTTCTATCCGAATGTGGGTTATAAACTGGGTTGCTTTTCTGCCTGTTATCAGGCGTGTAGCCAGGGGGCGGGGGCGGTCGCCCCCTCCCCCCCCCCCCCAAAAAAAAAAGAGAAAGAGAAAGGAAGGGACGTAGGAAGAAAAGGGATTAAGAGTCGAGAACGGTACAACTTCGTGTTCTTTCCCTTATAATTTAATAAAACGTTAAAGCTTCCGCGCTTCGCGCGGGAGGGGGGAACTGAATTCAGATAAGGATTAAAAGCCGAGAACGGTACGACGAATCTTTTTCTTTCTCTAATAATTTATGAAACGTCAAAGCTTTCGCGCTTCGAGCGGGAGGGGGGAAACTGAATTCAGAATAGGATTAGGAGTCGAGAACGGTACAACGAGTCGTCTTCTTTCTCTAATAATTTATGAAACGTCAAAGCTTCCGCGCTTCGCGCGAGAGCGGGGAAACTGAATTCAGACAAGGATTAAGAGTCGAGAATGGTACAACGAATCGTCTTCTTTCTTTAATAATCTAATGAAACGTCGGAGCTTCCGCGCTTCGCGCGGAGGAAGGGGAACTTGATTCAAACAAGGATTAAGAGCCGAGGACGGTACAACGAATCGTCTTCTTTCTCTAATAATTTAATAAAACGTCAAAAGAAACTGAATTTAGACAAGGATTAAGAGTCGAGAACGGTTCAACGAATCGTCTTCTTTCCCTAATAATTTAATTAAACGTCAAGGGAAACTCCCCCCTCCCTGCACCAAACCCTATATAATAGGGAGCGCGCTCTGTAAGTGATTCGCACGCTTCAAGTGCTCACTACCGCCCGCCCCCCCCCCCCCCCCCCCCCTCCCCCTAAAATGAAATCCTGGCTACGCGCTTGCCTGTTATCTAAGATTCACCGGCCTCTTGTAGATAATGTTGTTGAGATTAAATTTAGTAAAGTGGGGGAGACGAGCCTGAGTCACTGAACTTTCAGAAGCCTGAGTGTTATTGTTATGCATTTTTTGTTTTTTGTTGCGACGGGAGCAGGGCCGCGGCCCGGGGCTGGAAAAACGAACAAAAATCGGGAATGGGGGGGGGGGGGGCAGAGGGGACAAAGGCCCCCAAAAAGTTGAGTAGCGGGGACAAAATCAATTCTCCCAAGAACCCTCTTACAAAACCAAAAACAGACGCACTGTTTCTCAACACTGTGTTCAGGGCTATGTATAGGCGTCAAATAAGCGCGGGGCAGATTGTTTTGTTCTTTCTATCAGTAAAGGGTGTGTGGAGGGGGAGGAGGGGGGGGGGGGTGTCCTCAAAAGACCATTTTCTCTATACAGCGTTTGCTGTAGCCCCGCTGATGTTCTGAGGGATCCCTCCCGGTCCCGGTATATGTCCATTTTCTGGAAATTATTATCACCCTTGAATTTTATCAGAACTTATACAAATAAAGAAGAGATGGGATAAAGGTTGGTTTGCGTTGCCCTATTCCCCCCCCCCCTCTCCCTCCCTCTGTCTCCTTCTCTCCCCCCCCCCCCCCCGCAAGAAAAGGTGATTGGCGGTTGGCTCAGATATTTCCCCGGGGAGGGGTTACTCTCATAATAAAGACATACGGGGATGTGCCGCTCTAATGGGTCGCTTTTCACAAAAAGAAATGCATAACATGACATGGGTCCCATTTTTTTCCAAAGATATCACTGATTACATGGGTCCATTTTTCCTAATTTTCCAAAATTTTCGGGTGTTTGCATGACGAACACCTGAAGATTATGACAAAAAGGCATATATTTCGAGAAAACCCCTAAAATGGGTACCCTTTTCTGCCAAAATGCTCCTTAAAAATGTGTAGAGGTTTTGAGGGCGTTGTGGCGTGCGTGCGCCTGTAATCCAGCTAACACAAGTTACAAACTGATTCAGCTGAGGACGCAGGTTCGAAACTGAGTCACGTCTTTCGGTTAAAGGTCGGTCCCCATCTCTTTGATACACGTCTGTAAAAAGTCCAATACACACACTCAGGAGGCTTGAGTGGCGCACCCCCGTCAAAACCGAATCTGAGTACCCCCCCCCCCCCCCTGAGCCACAGCAGTTTTGAATACGACACTCGGAAACTCCCATCGTTTCCCCGCGGGTTGCATCCTTTTCCTTTATCGCGACAGAGTTATCCCTACGCTTTTTAAAACTTTCGTATCTCACATTACATCCAGAATCTAATTCAAACAAAAAGTGGAAAAAAAATCCTTTAATCTGTTGAAAATTTAAAAAATAGACTGCATAATTATCTTTTTTTTTGCCCTGTAGCCTGCCCTACTCAAAAATTTCAACAATTTATATTTATATAAGCCACAAAAATGTTTAAATAATTTCAGAAAAATTTCAATCATACATTCACCATATATATAATAACCCCTGTATGAAACACATCTATACCGCCAACAATAGCAAAGAAAATGAAGGGGGTGAGGGGAGTATTTTTCTTGTTCTCTGCATGCGCTCACTCGGCAATTTTATCAAAGTACATTCAGGGGGCGGGGGGGGGGGGGCTTGAAATTTTCCCAGTAGCGGCAGCCGGTACTTTTCCGAATGTCGTCCCCCGTTCGGGCAATAAATTTCTGCTCTTGCTCACGAAAGCGCAAACCGGAGCCCCCTCCCCATCCCCCCCCCCAAAAAAAATCTTTCCCCCACCAAATCCAAATATACACGATAATTATGTAAGTACGCGTTATCGGATTACATTTTAAAGGAAGAATGATTGAGCCGCCAATAAAAATAAAAATTTAAGAATGTACATAAAGAGTTTTGCAGCAGTGCCCGCTAAGAAAGCACGGAACGGTGGGACAACATCAAATCAAATCAAATCACATCAATAATAATAACAATATGTAAACAAACAAAAAACAGTAAATTGTCAATTAAAACATTATAAAACTATGACGATTAAGAAAATAAAAACAAAACAAGTATAGCATATAATGAGAAACAAGGTGATGAAAGAGGAAAAGTAGACCGTACACAGGCGCCGATCCAGAGGGGGGGGGGGCGAATGTGTCTCCCCCCCCCCCCCCCAAAAGAGAGAGAGAGAGAGAGAGCGAGAAGAAAAAAGGGGGAAAAGAAGAAGAAGAGAAGATAAAAGAGGAGAAAAAGAGGAAGAAGAAGAGAAAAGAAGGGGGATATCAATTGCAGTATTCCCACCAACAAGTTGTGGTTCGGGGAGGGGGGAGCAAAAGGCCGTTACCTCTCGCCCCCGCCCCCGCCAAAAAAAAAGGAGAAGGAAGGGAAAGGGAAAGTGGAGAGCTAAAAGGAAACCAAAACGAGAAAGAAGAAAAGAAAAGAGTAAAAAGAAGGGGAGATCAGTTGCGATTAATCCCGCTAACAACGTGTAGATCGGAGGGGGGGGGGGGCAAAATGAGAGAGAAGGACGGGAAGGAAAAGGGAAAGAGGAGAGAAAGGGAAAGAAAAGAAAAAAAAGAGAAAGAAGAAAGGTAGGGGAGATCAGTTACGGGGGCCGGGGGCACTTGCGTACTGATGGGGAGCCTGGGTTTATTTTCTAATTCGATATACCGGTGATTAACAAACGTTGCTGAAATTGATTCAATTGGCTGATAATTGTCCGAGATTTTTACACACTTTTTAGTAAATTATTATACTCTTTTATGCGTTTGTTGGAATATGACAAATTCTTAAATTTACAGTCAGGCAAGAAATATGCTTATAAAGAGGCATACATGTCAAGGCCCGCTGAACGGCGGGCCTCGAGCTCCACCCCCACTTAAAAAAAAGTACATTAAAGATAAATAGAAAGGCCCCCTGGATGCTCATCCGAACGTAAGTTATTGCCTAAAACCCCTGAGCTTCCGGGGGCTCCGCCCCTGGAGCCCACGCAAATTAGTGACCTGCCAGTGTCACAAATAAGGTATTCAAATATGCTCATCTGACCGTAATTAAATGCCTAAAAAATTAAATGCTCTGCCCCCTGGACCCCACTAATTTAGGGCCCTATAAGGCGGGCCCTTGAATGCTTATCTGACCGTTATAAAATGCCTCAAATCCCTGAGTTTCAGGGGGCTCAGTCCCCTGGACCCCACGCCAATGATTGACCTGTCAGTGTCATAAATAAGGTATCAAAATATGCTCATCTGACCATGATGAAATGCCCATAACCCACTTAAAAAGAAAAGAGCAGTGTGGCCTGCATGTAAAAGTGGGGGTGATTGGGATTTTTTTTTGTCCCCCCCCCCCCGGCCCCGAAATGTTTTCGCTCATTACGCCACTGCTTGTCACCATTATGTACCAATATTTGGCTCGCATAATTTCACATTTTGATTTAGGCCCCCTAAGAAACCCTGGATCCGCGCCTGCCGTATATTACAAGTCATAATTCAGTATTGACAGACATAAAAACATAAATAACTGGAAAATGGTGAACACAATGAAAGCCAGGTTTGTGACTTGTTACTGTGATCTACTATTTTTGTATGTATTTGTTTGTTTTTACATTATTATTATAAAATGTTAATCATGATTAAGAGATTTGCTGCTATCAAAAGATCAGGCAATTGCTTGTTCCTTCTCCCATGCTTCTTCTTCCCCTATGCTTCTTCCTTCTTCTCAAGAACCTGCAAGGACTGGAACAACCTCCCACATGACCCAGCCGCCCCTCTCTTGATGCCTTCAGGGTCTTCTTGAGTGGGATGCAGATGTAATGTCTACAAGACGGATGTTTTTACTTACACCAGGGAATATCCCTGCTTACACATGACTGTATGCACCTGCACAACAAGAACAACAAGTTAAAATGTGGAATAACAGGATATGTGAAAGTCTCCACATATACACACACAACCAGTGCGTTTATCTTCATCACCTTGAAGCAGCACTTACACTGGAGGAAGAAGAAGAATCCCCCCACCACGGATAACCACCCTGAGGACATTTACTCCCGAAAATCCCCCCCCCCCCCAGAAAATTGCCTCCTTGTCGGACAATCACCCACCCCCGAGGACATTTACCCCCCGAAAAAAAGAAGCTTTTAATGAAACCATTTATTATCAGGGTACGTGGACCGGGGGTGGTTATGTCCTAGGGGGTAATTTTTATTTTTTATTTTAGAGGGTCATGGGCGCTGGACTTTCTTTATAAATATGCGATATTGTGTGTTTTTTTTACAAATAAATTATGAAAATTTAGTGGAATCAATATTATTGCAAATAAACTTGATCTTTTGTCGATGACAAGAGCAATGGCGATTTCTTTTTTTTAGAATTCGAGGAGAAGAGAGGAACTTCGAACGAAACATTATTATGAAGCAAATAGGTACTATCCCATAATCCATCACGAATCGCCATTTTGCGACTATATGTCGCGCGCTATCTCATCACTCCCTATCGATAATACACACACAGATTCCCTATGCACTTTTGCATAGACAATAATCATTCACCATGTATTGAATGGAGTTAATGCGGCTGCATACACCTTGCGAAACCATTGTGATGAGGTTGTATTTTTCATTTTCCGATACCGATTGACTCCCCAAAATCTGATATTTAGGCTTGTCGTGTCGGAAGAAGGCCCCTGCCAGCAGGGGAAATCAGCCGAGATTGGGCGGATCGCAAGTAAGCACGTGAAGGTGCCTCCAACGTCCCGAAAAGCACCCTCGTCGCAAGGCAGTGACAAGGGGTCAGATTCGGCGACGTCGGTCGTGGAATTGAGAGAGTCCGATAAGAAAAAATCGAAGAAGACGAACAAGAGTCCCTCAGGCACAATGAACCACTACCCCAGCAACGAACGACCTCAGAGTGAGACGGAGGAGATGGATACACAGGAGGGTGGGTCTAAAATCATATTTTATATTTTTGTCCAGGGTTCAAAGTTTGAACATGTTGTTGAATGAGAAGGTGTTTTTGCGTGGGTGGAAAAGATGTCAACAACATCAATGAACATGTCATACTCGACCCAATCATTGATTATGGTGACCTGCATGACCTTTGTCAAAATTTATTGTATTGCTTCATTAAGTTGTTTGCCATTATGTTTTTCTCTGATAATGAAATATGAAATTTAATTGAAAGAGGGTTTCAAAAATATGTTTTGATTTCTGTAAATATTAATAATTATTAACACTAGATCTAGAGGCTGTAGAGCCGGGTCTATGCTGTGTAACTTCGCTGTAGACCTAAATGTAATTCCTCACTGTCACTGTCTGAGCTGACTGACTGTTTCATTTATTTTTTAACTTGTTCAAATGTAACTGTCGATATCTACTTATCTAGAACTGAAGTGTGTTTTCTTAATTTTCTTATATCAATTGAATGCTTTCATTTTTACTTTTAGTTAGGGACAGGGGTTTGGATGTCTGTTTACTTTAAGTGAGGCCTGAGGCCAGTCCTTTGATTTAGGTTGTGGAATATCAGCTTAACAGTCCAACTGGGTAGACCCTACCAACTGGGTAGACCCTACCTACACATACAAGTATATGGACTTATATGGACTTACATGTATATGGGCTTGTGTTCTATTGAAATTGAAACCAGATGCTGATTTTAGGCTTTAAAAATATGAAGGTTTAACAAAAGAAGTTTTAATAGTCTGACTAGGAGGTCATATTTTCATTTGTTAAATGTGAACTTTGGTGGTCAAAGTTTGACCCAGGATTGCATTTAACTGAATTGTACCCCTAAAACTAGGCTAAATGAGTAGGAATTGCCTTGCCAATAGTCTAATCAATGCTGGGAACTTCATACTTTTGTCTTTATGCTTTTGTCTTTATAAGATTTAGGCATTGACCAGAAACCTGCATGGTTGTGATGCAGATACATGTAATCTCTTTGCATCACTGGTGACAGGGCTCAACAGTTGTCTTGTACACATGGGTGCCCTCACTGCCCTGACTTTAAAAACCTAACCCCCCCCCCTATTTTGAAACTTTGACGTAGGGGTTCCATGCACACATAATGGCAGAACCCCTGTGAAAATGTTTCCACTTTTGTGGAACCTTTCCGGAAGTGACTTGACCCCAAAGTTGATTACCCTTGTACACTCTACATACTAATAATAATAATAATAGTGCGTTCTTCATAGCGCTCATGTTTGACACTCCTGGCATCAGCAGAAACTTGTGAGCTACAGCAAAGTTCTTCTTATGTAATACTCTCGGCATCTGTGAGAGACCTTTGCTCAGTTCATTAAAGGGAATTTAGCCAGATAATCTTGACTTAACATCTTTTTCTTTTTCATTTCCAGCACCGAACGAAAACATCCCCACCAAAGAGGAGACGTCCCCCACCCAGCCCCTGGGGGATGACGTGGATACAGGAGGGGGTGGTGGTGGGAGGGACGAGAACCCTGTGGTCATGAATGGGGACCTGACCACTGAACCGGGGCCGGACGATCCAGAACAGGGAGAGAAGATGGAAGAAGGTAGGTCTTGTTGTAGTATTGTAGATGGTTACGCATTTCTACCAGACTCTTTAAAAAAAGTTTTTTTCTTGCATGAGGACAAGTCCAAGTTATTTTATCCCCCATGTTACCGACCACATGTAAGATTTCAGTACATCCTGTAACTTAATCAAACTGATTATCCTACTAGATCTTGAATCAAATGATAATAATAATAATAATAAAAATAATAATAATACACTGTAGTGGCTACTTGTATAGGGCACAGGTTCACCTTTCGGTGCTCATGGCGCTGAGAGAAAAATACATGTAACAAACATAAGAAAGAAAAAACAAAAACAAAATTGTCCTAGACATAGTAAATTAGAATATTGCAATAGTTACAACAAAAAAAACAAAAAAAACTTTTTCATTTGTGATTTGAATTTTTCTGTTGACGACAGTTTACGTATTTTTTAGAGGGAGTTCATTCCAGAGTTTCAGACCCATGGCTGAGAAAGCCTGATCGCCCCAAGTATGTTTTATACTAGGTGTAGTATGAAGCAATAGCGTGTCTGATGACGAGCGAAGACTTCGTGTGGGATTGTATTTGGAGACAGAGTTGCTTCGGTATGTAGGGGAAATAAGAGAGTAAACTGAATGACATGTACAAGTAACAGAATTTTAAAGATAATCCTTTTGTCAACTGGCAACCAATAGATCCCCACCTCCTGCATCATGTAGATTGAATTGTCAATGTAAATTACTTTCCTCCGTTCACTCACTATATGGGAAAGGCTGCAGGAAGCATTGCTTTACTTTAAAAAGTAATTGATTTTTATAGCATACTGTACCTGTTCATGTAATAAATTGGAAGGGTCTTGTCTGAAGTTTGTGCCCATTCTATCCTTGGTCTGGGAAAAATATGGGTTACATGTACTTACATGTTGTAGACTTTGTACAATTACCTCCAGTCAAACCTGTCTACAGCAACTGCCCAAGGAAAAACATAAAATGTGGTCTTTGTAGACAGGTGGTCACTAAAGCAGGTAATGACTGTACATCTTGATACTTACTACACATGAAGAATCTACGAAGGATTTCTTCCTGGAAACTGTAGGACTTTGTTTAATTAGTAAGTTACAAGTAATTTTAATATTTGCCTCAAATTATTGGCATCTGCAATAAGTGACATAGTAAACAGATTATTTGTTTGTTAATATAAATCTCTTAGCTGTACATGCAATTAGAAGAAAGTAACTCATAGGGGAGCAACTTAGTCACAAGATATGAAGAATTAAAAAAAAGGGGGAGGGACAGATAGAATGCAAGAGAAAATGAGGCGCGTACATTTACATGAACATGTTTGTGGACTACAAAGACTGAAACTAAATCTTAAGAAGAGTTGGTAATTATTTGGTACTATAGATTTTGATCAAGTACATTTAGCCTACTTTTGAGTGCTTTGAGTACAGGGAATGAACTTTGTAATCTTCATGTGCAACATCTATCTCGGTTGTTTTTCTAGATAGAGAAGTCATTTCTCAATTCTCATGTCATTTTTTGGATGAAATACCCCAAAGAGAGGAAAAAATTGGTAAACTGATACTTTACTATTATGGTGTCATGGTTGAGTGGATATGTCACAGGACTGGATCACAAGGTCGGCAGTTCAAGTCCTGCCACAGCAATAATATGCTGCCCCCAGGGTTCCTTCTTCTAGGGTAAAAGGCCATATTTTTGTGGATGGTTTTTGTGCGCTCTTTAGTTTAGGCCACATTTCTCACTGGATTTTGTTCAAATCTTTGAAAGAAGGTGTTTTTTTGTATAATGTACAAGCCTATGTATTTTGGTGATGCTGCATCCAGTGTTCCCTCTTTTATAGGGTCAAAGGTCATATTTCGATAGATGTCCTGTGTACACTCTTGTGTATGCTAGATAACTGCCACCTTCCTTGACGGATTTCTTTAAAATTTTGTATGGAGGTGTATCTTGGTTTAATCTACACACCTATAATTTTGGGTGATGCTGCCCCTGTGTTCCGTCTTTTATAGGGTAAAAGGCAAAATATTTTTGGGGAATGTATCAACTGAATGAAGTCCCACTTTTTCTTTCTTTCTCTTTTTGTCTCTCTTTTCTCCCCTTTTTTCCCCCTTTTTTCTTTTTCTAAATTCTTCATTATCATCATCACTATTTTTGCTGTTGCTGTTATTATTGTTGTTAATATTTTTCCTACTGATTTTAATGTCAATTTAATCATTATGCAAAATTGGGGCTTAATTTCAATTTTCCTGAGAAGAGGAAAGGAAGGAGGTAAACAAGAAGAAAAGGAGAAGAAAAAGAAATGGAGAAGAAAAAGAAATGGAGAAGAAGAAAAGGAAGAGAAGAAGAGAAGGAGAAGAAGCACGTGTTGTGCCAATTATTACTTACTACATAGACTTATAATTACACATATACGGCAGCCTTTGAAGGATGTTTTTGGATGGTGAATGATTTGCTGATATGATTTTAGCTTTGTTTACAAGTAAATGTACTTTAACGTTTTGATAATAGCATGCACTTGTCAGAACATGCCCATTCTACAGTGTTCAAAGTTCACCTACTCTACAAAAAAAAACGTCCATTCATTTCCAAGTAGTTTCAAAGGTCACTCAGCTCACAGGACCTGTTTATGAATGACTGAAAAGAACACACCAACACTACATGTACATTACCTGTACATGTACATGTATCTCGCTTTGAATAGGTCAATGACAGTTTTATTTTTCATTGACACATAATGGTGCCTATTTACCATTACACTAATTACACAAGTATAGAAAGTGTTATATCTTGTTGTGTTTAATTCCAATGGACATATGAAATATATCTTGTCAAATATCACGAGGTCTAGTGGTTAAATCACCGGGTTGATGATCGCAAAGTACTACAGTGTATATGGTTTGAGTTCCACATTTCTAGCCCAGCTTTGATATCCTTCGGCAAGATGTTAATCTAGATTTGCCACTCACACAACCCGAGCAGCTCGGCTTAAATAGGTAATATTGTCCAAGCCCTATGAGCTTCACAACATTAGAGAAACAAGCACTATTTAAGAAGCCATTATTTTTTATCTGAAATTGGCTCAATACAGTGAACAAATTTAGGACTACATTGACTTCAATACTCTAATGCTATTTAAACAAAGGCTTATAATTTGTATTTAATTCATGATTTGAATTGAAATTTCTTGTATTGCCAAGTAACAACATAATATGAAAAATACTTGTTTGCGATTTACCTACAATATACCGTAGGCAGTGTAATTACGGTGTAAAGTGCTACACATATACAAATGTAATTGCTGTGAATATATTGATCCCTGGAGAATAGCACACTGTATAATGCATGCACATGTAGGCTTGTCTGATTAGGCAAGAAAGAAATTTCATTTTATTTACTTTTTTTCTTTAGAAGCACTTGGAATATTGTGCAATTTGGGGGCACTGTACATACTGTACATACATAGATGTAGAGAATGTGAGTTGAAGATGAATAAAGCAGGTGCATGTACTTGAACATTATGTGAAGGCCTATATTAATTTACATGTTGGTCTGTATGTATGTATGTACATGAATGTTATCAGTCTCAATTTTTATTTAAAAGTATACTTTGTAACAGCCTGTCAGGTAGTTACATCTGTAAATGTAAGTTTATTTCATCAAAATGTACTTATCTCATTACATGTAGTATGCGAGTTTAGGAGGAGGTAGAACTTCATAGTTTGCTATGCACGGATGTTCATTTCTGCCATGCACAATTGTTCAGGTCTTCATGTGTTTATGTTGATTTCATGTGTACATGACGCTCATGCTCTGTATTTTAGGTACCGGTACATGTACACTGTAGATAGTCTTGCAAGAGAATTTGAGTTTGTACATAATGTGATTCACATCACATGTAGGCCTATGTCACTGAAAGCATCTCATAAATTTGTGTTTACCAATTAGCTTACATGGGGGAAATGGAAGCACCAATTTATGTTGGAAGAGCCAGACTAAGTGCCCAGTGGGAATACGTCCGTGTAATGTAGGCATTTATCATCAAAACTTGCACAGAGTAATGGCATCTTCAAGAAATGTACTAGCTGGTCTACATGTTTGTAATCTGAAATATACATTTATGTTGGCGCATGTATATTTAACAATATCAAGACTGTATATTGCCCTTTGGTAAAAGACCACTAGATATTAAAGTACATCTTGATATAAAATCTTTTGTCACGTTTATCAGACTACCGATATTCAGAATAAATATACTTCAAGATAAACTTGAGTTCTGGTAAATATAGAAAATAAATTCTTGCAGAATCTAACGAAACTTACACTGGATGTTAAAAATAACAAATAAATGACTTGTGCCAAACAATTTTTGTAGAAAATGTATAGTGGCTGAGTAATGAGCATAGAAATATAAGGAAATCCGGGTTCGGACCTGCCCGACACCATTTAATACTTAAAGATAAAGACCAGTTCTGGTCATGCGATTGCATTGTGAAAGAAACTTTGTGGAATCGACCAAAAAAGGTTGATCATCTAGCATATACTGTACATGTAAGTATTGGTGTGTACTGCAAGGTTCTGGAATGATCAAAATGATAAGAAATTTGGCCCAGTCTTCGTAAAGTTACATGCACTTTACACAGAAAGATGTATATGGGACTACGCACACGTGCGCAACACGTGCGTTTATCTCTCACATAACCGTAGATAAACTAATTTACCAAATATATCAATTAGTAGGTGTTTTCCCGGCAAAATGTTTATCATCATGTATTAGTTAAAACATATTCTTTCACATGATTTGTAATAGGAGCTTCCATTTCATTTTTTGAAATTGGGGCATTTCCAATACTGGTCTTTACCTTTAACATAGTTCACTACAGTACGTGCAAATGGGAGTTGTGGTTTTTATCAAAGATGATGTCCAGTAAGTTTCTTGTGCATTTGTTTTTATTTCACTGGTACAAACAACCATTCTACTGCAGGATAAACAATCCAGAATAGATTATAGCAATTTTCTCTCAAAATAGGATACCCATTAACCCATACCAGAGGCCAGAGCTCAAGATTATATTTTTATCCTTTCTACATGCGTATGTATCTATTAGACTTGTTGTTTTACATGTATATTAATAAATGCACTGGTAGTACAACAGAATTATTAATGATGTCTCCCATCAGTTGATTGAATGATATAATTATTAAGATAATAATTTGATATTAATTTGAGGTCAGTATTTTATCTTCCAATGAATGACTGACTTTATTGTACACTGACTGTGTACATGTATTTCAGCTATTACTGTCTAGTTGATGACTTTCTAATCATGGCTATCGTATGGTTCTGTTAGATTTGTTGTTCATCAATCTTATTGTTGAAGATACATGTACACTGTACACAGTGGCGTACGCAGGATTTTTTGAAGGGGGGGGGGGGTTTTAAAATCGGGTCCAAAATTTCGCAACGACTCAGGAAAATTTGAAAATCGCGCCGGCCAAAAAGTTGCTCTCAGTGGGGGGGGGGGGGGGGTAAGCGGACACTTTTTTTTTTTTTTTGGTCTCGAAATTTGAAAATTTGACATTTTGCTCCGTTGGGGGGGGGGGGTAAGGTCACCTTTCTTAGGTCAGCCATGGGGATAACAATTTTTTTTTTTTTTTTTTTAAATTTAAAAAAAAAAAAAAAAAAAAATCCAAAGGGGGGGGGGGGGGGGGTTTAGGTTTTTTTTAGGGGGGTTTACACACATAAAAATACCAAAGGGGGGGGGGGGGTTTAACCCCCCAAACACCCCCCCTGCGTACGCGCCTGACTGTACATGGATCTTATGTTTGTCAGCATTTTAAAAGCTACATGTACAGTGTACATGTAATGCTGTGCTTCCCAGTACCTTAATCTTTCATGCCGTCTCATATACCATGGCAAAGATCATTAATAATTGATTTATATTTTGCTGATCAATGATCAATTAGAATTTGTTTGTACATGTAATGTACAGTATACAGGTATATGCTAAAATAAATGATGTCATTTGATCAGTGAAAAATTTGATGAGGTTAAGGAAAATTTGCCTAAGAAAATCTAATATGAGCCCTTCCAAGGTGAGTTCTATTTTGAACAGTTTGATAATAATCTTTATTTATAAAGCGCTTTAATAGTAAAAAATACTGTCGCTAAGCGTTTTACAGAAAATATTACCTCACTCATCAGATTCATTTGTGTACAATGTGCACCGTCTCCACTCTGTGCACCATCTCCACTCCCTGGGGAGCATTCCCACCATACATGTATATGATCACTGTGAGGGCATATGGCAATTACTATTACATGTAGGCTTTTGTCATCCTATCAAGTCCCCATTTCTCTCCTAGATATGGAGTGGCAAATAAACATGTGGATAAATGCCTTGCCCAAGGACATTAGTGCCATGTCAGGGATCAAACCCATGACCTTTGCATTTCTAGTCAAGTGCTTAAACCATGACATGACACCTTTAGTTTCTATAAACTTTGTTTGAAATTCAAAAAGAAGAATTAACTAAATTACTAAAGGGAAGTCCCTGGTATCAAGTCTTGCCAGTTTATTTTTGATTATTTACAATATGTAGTCTCTTTGAATTATCAATGTCCTGCATACATATGTGCAGTATATTCTCAAATTTCCCTCAATCTTTCACTGAGCACTGCATATTGAAACCAACCAGAGAATAGTGGACTTCCTTTCTAAGATCGTAGCCAAAGCTATATCTAGTTTGACCTTATAAAAATACAATTGTAATTTTTTACCATGATAGTGATAATGCTATTGTTATGGAGTAGCTGTATTTGTGCATGGGAAAGGTCTATCTTTCCTTTAATTATTTACTCTTGTGGAAAAGATTTAACACCCCAAAAGTGCAAACACAACCGTAATACAGGTACATGTAAATTGATACAATGAAGCTATTTTCATTATGAAGCCATTTACAATGTACATAAAATATGTATCTTTTCTAATTATTTTCTTTCTGAAAAAAAAATGCAGTACCCCAAGCCCCAACTTACAGGGTGACCCCCCCCCCCCCTCCCCTTAAAAAAAATGAGACATAAAAGGGGGTAGGGGAGGGGGAGGAGGGGAGAAACAAAGAAAACTGCAAAGCCTTTGCATACATGTACACTATGGTACACTACGGTACACTGAAACTATTTTCAATATGAGCCATTTATGTCTCCAAAGTACATCTAAATGTACATGTACATGTAGAAGTGTGTCGGAGGAAACTGTCTTTCTCACTTTCTAATTCGGCTGATTTCAATCTCATACTGAGGAAGATGCCTTTGACCAAGAGATAAGGAGATGAAATGACCAACCCAAAATTTACTGACTCTATACAAAATGTGGTATTTGAATTTTGTGATCATATTTATAAATTGGAAACCGTAAAAGATTGAAGACATACATGTACATGCCATTCATTCAAACGCTTTATAAATTATTTCATTTATTGTGGTTCCGTAAAGGATTGCTATTGATTTGTGTTTCCCATGCCATGAAGATAAGCACTTGAACACCGTACAAATTTACCAACCTATGAGATGTCATTTATTGATACTCTTCCTCTCTCTCTCTCTCTCTCTCTCTCTCTCTCTCTCTCTCTCTCTCAGATGGCAGTCGTTCGGAAGCCACCTTCTGCCATACAGTCAACAACATCAGCAAGCTGAAGGAGACTTCACTCAGTACGTCTATCACCGTCAGGAACTTGCCATGGTGAGTACCGTAATTAACGGTGTATTAACCGCACCTTTTTGCCGCCGAAAAAAATTCAAAGTCGGGGGGTGCGGCTTATACACGGTACACCAAAAAAAAAAAAAAATTAATTTTTTTTAAAAGTTTCGATTTATGCCCCTCCACCTGGCGCTACGCCTGGCAATGTCTCCCAGCTCGGTAATCGGTGTGTTGACTCACCACTCAGAAACTAGAACAACACTCAAATTTGTCTGTCATTTTGGTTTGAAAGTAATCTTTCTGATAGATCTCAATACATGTATGTAGTTTATAATAATAATTCCTCCAATTTTTCTTCTATTACATGGTGTACCACAAGGTTCTATCCTAGGTCCCTTACTGTTTTTTAATTTACATTAATGATCTTAAGGGCGAAAAAGAGGGGTGCGGTTAATACTCGAGGGCAGTTTATACAACGTTAATTATGGTAGCAACTTGTCCAGGGGGGGCATTTCACAAAACTTGTCATCAGTGACAAATGACAATTTTTGTTATAAGCTACTGAAATCCTTGCTTCTGATTGGCTATCAGCAGATTTGTCATTAATTTTTGTCATTTGTCATTGAAAAAAGGCTTTGTGAAATGCCCTCCAGTGGAGTGTTTCCCAAAGACTAATATCGACTTTAAGTTGGACTTACCTATGGCAGGCCGCTCATGCGACTATTTTCTCTAACCATAATACTGGTGTTGGTCTCTGAAGGGCCGTACAAATTGTGGTCACAAATCTACAGAATTTACCTGATTTTTATAGTTCATTATGGGAGGCAAAAATAATAAGATCATAATTGAGAGACCAATGGTGACAGCAACCAGTGGCATGAATGGCCTGCCATAGTTAAGTCCAACTTAAAGTCGATCTTAGTCTTTGTGAAACACCCCCCTGATGTAGTATCTTGGCTTTCAAGCCAAATTGTAAATTAGTTTTCCATCCAAGTATGATGGTGTCTGCATTAGAGATGAGGTATCACTTTCAACTGGCCACTTTTAAAGGGGAAGAATCATGAATTATGATAAGGTGTTTGTTATCATGAGACATTGAATTATCATCCCAAAATGTGAGGCATTTCAATGGATAACAATACAGATGAAAAAAAATGACTTTGTGTCAAAGCCAGATGTGAACTGTTCATGAATTTTAAGTGAGTGCAATGATTAGTCAACTCAGTTTGCTAAGTTGCTTTTTGGAGTGCTATTTCAGTATTTACAATAAAGAGCTTTTAAAAGCAGAGTAGTGTATTACAGACATCGCTACCACTGCTGTAATGTAATAATGTAAAGTATTACAATTGTGCCCTCATTCGGTGAAGGTGTACATCAAGTGATTTCATGTTCCCATTACCCAAGCATCATCACTCATGCATTTGGTGGTGCATTGTGGGACATTGCTGTGGACACATCGAGACGTTGTGAGCAGCAGACGGAAGCATATGAAAATCTGAAGTAGTGTCGGTAGGATCCCAAACATAAAGAGTAGAAGAAAAACATGTCTTTGAAAGCTAGAAGTCATTCATGTAATCATCAAACACATCAAAATGTTCAAATCATTAAAGTGATTAAACAGGGATGCCAGTGTTCAGGCAATAGCCTGAATTCAGACCCTGGTGAGTTATTTTCAAACCATAGTTTAGGCTGTACAAAATAGCTCATTCTAGGTGATTTTCAGGCCCTCTGATCTATTCTAAATAGCAATCCCTGATTAAAGTTTTAGAGTGAATTATTCTTTAATGATGTAATAGTGACTTACATTTACCCATACCCGTAGCTTCCTTGCTGTAATGTAATAATGTAAAGTATTACAATTGTGCCCTCATTCGGTGAAGGTGTACATCAAGTGATTTCATGTTCCCATTACCCAAGCATCATCACTCATGCATTTGGTGGTGCATTGTGGGACATTGCTGTGGACACATCGAGACGTTGTGAGCAGCAGACGGAAGCATATGAAAATCTGAAGTAGTGTCGGTAGGATCCCAAACATAAAGAGTAGAAGAAAAACATGTCTTTGAAAGCTAGAAGTCATTCATGTAATCATCAAACACATCAAAATGTTCAAATCATTAAAGTGATTAAACAGGGATGCCAGTGTTCAGGCAATAGCCTGAATTCAGACCCTGGTGAGTTATTTTCAAACCATAGTTTAGGCTGTACAAAATAGCTCATTCTAGGTGATTTTCAGGCCCTCTGATCTATTCTAAATAGCAATCCCTGATTAAAGTTTTAGAGTGAATTATTCTTTAATGATGTAATAGTGACTTACATTTACCCATACCCGTAGCTTCCTTGCTGAACTCAATTTTGAAATTGCAAATGGTAAAACTCACTCTGCCTTGGCATCAGGCTACTCTGTAATATCAATTTGCTCACTCTGCGTTGGTCAGCTAGCTATAAGCTGAAATCACGACTCAAATTTTGACCAATCAGATGACTAGATTTATTCAACATACTATTAAAAGAAAGATATATATTCACATTAACCCATACATGTGCATGTGGCTTCCTTGATTTAGCTCGTTTTGAAATAGTGGTAAAACTCCTTGGCATGAGGCTATACTCTGTAATATCAATTTGCTCACTCGGTCGTTGGTCAGCTAGCTATAAGTGGACGCCCAAGGGGGGAGGAAGGTACTCTAAGTGTGTGTGCAGGAAACCTCAAGCTATCGCTGTGATATGTAGCGTTTCGGTCGCTTGAGAGGCAGTAGGACTCACGTGTAATATTAATTGATGCGTACGTTGTGCATGTATAAGACCTTTTGGTTCTCAAAGCATTTTAAAATTGCTGTGACAGTGTGAAGTCAATGATACCTACATGTGAATATTCATTTGGGCTTAAAAAGAAGAAGAAAGAACATATTTATAAACATATTTACATGTACAGTATATTGAATAAGCTCCCTACAAATGATTTGTGTGGTTTAATTGCTTGTCATGTACACTGTATTGTAAACTGAATGTTTATGTACAAAGTCCTTTCATTTTAAAGTGTGTGTTGGCAATTTTCGAGGGAAATTTATTGTAACATGGGGTTGTGTTTTCATCTCCCTATACTAATATGTTAAATGTCTGTCGGGTTATTATAATGAATGCTTTTTTCTTTTGCCTGGTTATTAATATTTGCTCATATATTTGTTAGTTTGGCTCATTGTAATGGAAACTTGTTCAAATTGGAACTTGTATACTTTCGTCACTATGATTTCCAGAAAAGTAGGACTTGTGAAATTGTTAGACAGGCAATAGTTGATTTTTCTTTGGATTTTCATTACCACTACACATAGTACCGAGATTTAACAATTATTAGGCCTACAGTAATTAGGCCTCAATTATCAATAAAACATTAAATAAAAGTGAGTAGTCACAAGATTAGATTGTAGTGATGATAATTGAAGCTGATTCGTCACAGCATTTACCATGCATCATATTTCATCAAAATCAAAGGCCACATTGTAGTTACATGATGTAACAAGAAGAGAAAAGGGAAAGAATTTGTGCATTTTATACTTTGCGATGCACCCGAAGCAGCATAAAATGACATTCCCCTTAATTTGAGAGAAACCTGTGCCCTACACTTGATCTATGACAGGCTCTCTCTACCTCCTGAGGTTAATGGACATACTGTACATACATGTAGACACCCCCAATCCAGAGTCATTAATATGAATCTGTTTCTATCGACGAGGACGTGAGACTCTCTGCATGGTGTGTAGTACATGTATATATGTAGGTCTGCTGGACGCATTGCGCTCTTCATCACTGCATCTGTCTGACATGGCTGCCTGCTTGGGGGACAGCTGTGTCTTTCTCCGTTTTATCTTCTTCTCCTCCTCCCTGTTTCTGTTCACTTTATATTCTCTTCCATGTTTGTATTATCTTTCATTGCCCTCTCCTCCACTCTCTATTCCTCCTTTCCTACACCCCTCTTTTGACGTCTCTTTTCTCCTTTCTCATCCTCTGTTAACGACCCTTGATTGTTCCCTTTGCATTTCTCCTTAATAGTGACTTAGTTGCCAATTTGAGACAATTCAAAATCACAGATCAGTGTGAAAAAAGCTACAAATACACAGCCTCACAGGAGTAAGCAATTTAGCTTTGGAAAGCTTCAAAAGAGCTTTGGGAAACTGAAAAGAGATTCAACTAAAAATTCAAGATGAATACATGAATAAAAACCGTACAAATCCATGCAAGAAATCAACTCCTGTAGACAAATATTATATTTTTATTTTTTTGTAAAATGTTGTTACAGAATCAGATATGACAGATAGATACCCAGTGGTCATTATTTCTGTACTGATGATACCTACATGTATAGTCACTTAATTGTATTCATTCATCTAGGCTGTTACAAACCAACCCATCCATCTAGGTCAGTCTGTCTTTTAAGCTGTGCTTTATGATGATAATTTTATGACTGATGTGTCTGCAGTGTGATGTAATTGCGCATTTAGGCAGAGAGAGAGAGAGAGAGAGGGGGGGGGGGGAGCTAGAGAGAGGAGAAAGTCAGCCACTCCGGCCGGCTATTATAACCATGGACCTGTTAGATCTATGTTAAATATAACTGACATGTCTGTGAAAATCCCTCTGAAATGCACACAAAGTGACAGGGAGAGGGGGAGAGAGAGAGAGTGAGGAAAAGAGACCGAGATAGAGAGAAAGAGAGGAGGGGAAAGAAAGCCAGCCAGTCTATCCAACTATTATATCTGACAAGTCTGTTAAAATCCCTCTGAAGTTTATTACACAAAGTGACAAAGAGAAAGGAAATGAGAAAGAGGGAGAGAGAGAGAGAGAGAGAGAGAGAGAAGGAAAACAAGAGAAAGGGAGAGAGAGACAGGAAGGGGGAGAGAGAGCGAGTTAGTTTGGGGAGGGGTGATCTATCCAGCCTGAAGTGTGTACTTTGGCTAATGAGCTTTTTCACGATACACTGCACTTGCTGCAAGTCAAATTCATGGTCTGATAGATACTACATGTATATGTCAGACATACTGTCCATGTAGATTAACTCTTGCCAGACTGTCATTATGCTTTCTCTCCCTGGCTTGATCTCATGGTGCAAGAAGGGGTGGTTGTGAAGGGGGCGGGGCAAATGTACATGTACATAATGTATGCAATTGATCATTGATATGACAAGATACATGCACTTGTACTACATTTGGTATCACATATGATGAAACTATTAAGCAAAAGGTCAAGGATTTTTTTCTTCAAGTGAATGGAATTTCCCGAAATGTACATACAAATGTATGTTAAATGCAAGCCAAGGTATTCATCATTTTAAAATTATTATTTAAAAATATAGTTTACATATAAAAATTATAAATAGATATTTACACCTTTGTACCCAATGTTGTTACAATTGTATGACATGTACTAAAAATGTACATGCATGTGAATTTTTATTTCCTCATTTTCCCGGGAGCAATTACTCCATCACTCTCATTAATAATAAAAATGTTTGTTGCATAATTGGTCCGTAGTCTGCCAAAAGAACATGTATATTTTCACTTGTATACATGTTTACATGTACATAATGCACATGTACATTTACATACATGTACATAAAATGTTGCGCTATAATATTTGTGTGACATGTACATGCAAGTTTCTGTGCAGGCTTTTTATTTTCCTGCTTTACCCTGGAGAAATTATTCCACTCACATTAATCTTGGAAGTGTACATACATGTACATTGCCCCCAGATGGAAAGAAATTTATAATTTTACGAGGTCTTTCTCAGTGTCCCAGTAGATGCAGACCTTTGAAATATCAAATTGTACATAAAGTCAATGTCCTCTGTCAATGGAAACAAGACTCATATCCACCAGCTGGCAAATGAAATGGAGTGTGTAAAGAACATAGGAGCTCAGTTTCTGCCGGCATTCTTTATGCTCTATTGAATAAAGAAAAACAATAAAACATTACAGTAATAAATGCAAAATGTACATCACTTTATGTTTGTCTGTTGAAGGTAAAATATTTTTCACCAGTGTGCGAAAAATATTTTGATGGTTGGAACCTGATAAATCATAATTTAATGTATGTTGATTATTTATTTATTTATTTGTTTGTTCATTTATTTATGTTTATTTATTTATCTATTCATTCATTTATTCATTCATTATTATTTTTGTTTACAGGAAAATCATGGCAATGCCCCGGACGAGTCACAACAGTGCTGAGCGCAGCTCTCGAAGTTTGGGCTTCTTCTTACAGTGCAATGCAGAATCCGATTCACAGTAAGTTAAACAATTTGGTTTAATTTCAATGTTATTTGGTCTGCATGTATCCACATCTATGACTTTCATTATGAATCCATCCGCATAAACCCAAATAAAGGTTTTTGTAAATTTTGGATTTGGAGAATACATGTACTGAGATAGAAGTTAATTGAAAGTGAGGTTGATTTTCAAATGTGAGATACTTTACATGAACAAGCTAGAAAGCTACAAGTCAGGCCTAAAAACCCAAAAAAAAATTCAAGCAAATGTGTATTCCATTACTATTGGAGGAGCGGGCGTCTTTGAATGTTTGAAACAGATAAATGGCGCAATACAAGAGCTGTGAATCGTCATCATCTGTAAATATCTAGTATGGTTATCTTAGTAAGTTAAACAGAGAGGTTAGGTTTTCAGTTTTTAGTATGCGTACATGTAATATACACCCTTGTCTACTTTTCATCTAAAAATGTTAGCTTGCAGTTTGTTGAAGGGAGATTCATTCAAAAATGTAGGTATGGGCATGTAGGAATTGTGGTATTTTAATACATGCATTCCCCAATTGATGTTCAGTTTTAAGTGTGATATGGTCTGAATGCATAATAAGGTCTCTCAATTTCCGATACATGGAAATGTCTGTAAGTTAAAAAGGGAAGTTACATATAAAATGTGAATTGGTCTGAATACATGTACATCCAAATGCGAGTGTTTACATGTATAATTTTAGGCATTCTCATGTAACATGCAAGTTCAACGTATCATGGATTCTTTTTCTTTTTCCCTCCTGGCTTTGCAGAACATGGTCGTGTCAGGCCACGGCTGAACTTCGGCTTCTGAATCAAACAGGAGGACAATCCCATGTGAAAAGTAAGTACGCTGACCTCTTCATGGGGTCAAAGTTCATCCGTACCATGTCAAATAGTTCAATGTTTGTGATTACTTTGTGTAAAAATGATATTTTGTAGAGTGCGGTGAACGTTTGTCAATAATTTCTTTCAGTGTATAGAAGTTGTTTTTTTTAATACAAAAACTAAAATAACAAATTAAGAGAGAAAGCAGGAAAAGATGGTTGGAGCAGAGAGAGAGGGAGAGAACGAAAGAAAGAAAGAAAGGAAGAAAGAAGGGGAGTACAGAGAGACAGATACACATGAGAAACAAAAAATAAATAGACAGAGAGAAGGAGTGATGAGAGAGAAATGTATACATCCAACAATATTGTGTGCAGGAATTACATGTATAGAACATACAGTACTAAGTGAGAATGAAATAAGGTGGTTAAATTTCCCCAATAGTACATTATCTGCATGCCCCTCGCATTTTAATCAAACCTCACTCAATTAGTGAATTTTTGGAATGAACTGGTGAGAAAGTATTTGCAGACACCTTTCAAAGGTGCCACTTAATGTATTATTGAATTAATAGAACTTAGACAATAGACAAAGAGGACATGGCTTGGCTTGCACTAAGCTGTACTAAAAGGATTTGTACAAACCAAACCAGAAGCACACCTAAAGTAGACATTCATTGATTTTAAGTATTGATTTAATTTGTATCATTTACATATTTAAGAGAAGGTTAACACAAACAAGGTTATTTAAATTTCCTGTTTGGAAACATTCAAAGTAACGATTATTATCAATTTTAAAACAGTAATATACAGCCCCAGTTTCGCACTTGAAGAGCTCTCTGAAACACTGCCGGGATTTGTGATGTCATGCAAGGGATCAAATTAGTATAAGCAGACGAAGTCCCATAACAATGCACATTTTTTAAAGTGCTTGTCTCACAAGTGGTCTCCTCTTCACTTATTTCCCTTACTTCACCAGTGTTATTCTAACCATTTGATCTGTTGCTTCACTCTACATTTCGGACATGATTTTATTTCCATGAAAAATGCAGCGTTTGAAAAATAATTGAATTCTGAACATTTGTATACATCTTGTTCACCCAATCTTTTGCTAAAGATACTGAAAGCTGTTCTGATGACCAGTCTACTAGCCCTTGGTAACTGAGCTAGTGCATTTATAATGAATTCTATTTGTAATCCTAACTCCCAATTTCTTTTCTCTGCTTGTTTTTAAACAGAAATCTCTCATCTGTTCTACAGCAAGGAAAATGACTGGGGTTTCAGTCATTTCATGGCATGGAGTGTAAGTAGTCACTGTTTACTTGTCTATTTATTCCATTTTGAAATGATAATTAACATTTATAAAAGGTTAGGTTCATGTATATTTGGGTTCGGAACTTCCTCGCAGGTGTGCTTGGTAAAGGTCGTTATTGTTTTTTTCATTTCCGCAAAAGGTTTTGCCAGAAGCAAGATGTACTATGTTGTAGGATTGTCCTGCCAATGATAAACTAGAGAATGGATACATTTCAAAATAGATAGAAACCCAGATGTATGAAAGTTTGATAAAAATGTATTTAGAACTTTTTATTAAAATACTGTCAAAGGAAAGTGAAAAAACTATCACAGAGTAATATACATATATATATATATATATACATTTAACAACTAACTTATTCATTGTGAATTTGGTAGTTTTTTTTGTTGGTCATGTTTTTTGTAATTTGAGAATGAAAGGCGGCAAGTTGAATTAGAGCCTTCGTTGAGTACTCGGCTTTAATATGTGACTTTCTCAAGAAACATAAATCAAACACAAAAGTAAATTGTTCACATACTTGCAAAATTACAAAACTTGGTAAGGGTATGAATAATTTAGTTGTTAACTGTATATACTTTACATGACAGAACAAGCATGCAAAAAGAATTTGTTATTTGTTATAGTCTGAGGGATGCTACACAGTGAGTATTACCTAATCTTGTGTATATGGCATGACAATTGTTATTTTGTTATTTGAAACAGGCAACTTCTTAGTCATTAATATTTCACCTCAGTCACATAAATAGCAGTGAATTTAAAGCTTTTCTGTACTAGTTTATAGGAGGGATTAGACCACCCTGCAAGGTCACTCATCAAATCAGCTCTCAGTTAACATAAGAAAAAGAGGATCATGGGGGACCAATGGTCATCGATTAGGCATTGTTTTCTATTAGAGGGAGCAAGTAGCTACAAGTAGGACAGTGTGGCTTTAAATGATAATTATATTCAGATATTAATTTTTTAAATATTTCTGTGATTAATCTCCAGGACTTGTTAGATCCAGAGAAGGGGTATGTGAAGGATGACGCCATTACGTTGGAGGTTCACGTTGTGGCCGACGCCCCTCATGGTGTTAGGTAGGTCACATGTCTTCTAGCTCCGCCCCTTTTCACTGCCATTAACTTTTAAAAACAGTTTGTTTACTTTAAATGGTATTACAGGGATTCATCTTTGGCATCCCAGGTGGAAATTATTCCTCTTTCAATGTTGTTATTTTGTATGCAAAATATTATATATTTTTAAGTAGATGTTTGAAGGGATCTTTATCATTTCCATGTTTTCAAAAGCAATTGAAATATCATTATGAAGTTGAACGAACAATGTACACTGTATGCGCAACAAGATAGGTTTATTTTATTTCATGATAGATTGAGGCATGTCCCACTTATCTCAATACTATAATGTAGTTTTTCGTTGTACCTTTCTTTGTGAAATGTAAGTATCAATCATTTTTGCACATTTGCTTATATTGTTTTATGCTTTGATAACAATAAAGACTTTATTTGAAGGGAAAAAATAAAAATAATTCTACCTTGTGCATGAGCTGTGGATGAAGTCTTCTCCATTCTCCATTCCTATAGCTGGGACTCCAAGAAGCTAACTGGGTATGTTGGTCTGAAGAATCAAGGAGCGACGTGCTACATGAACTCTTTGCTGCAGTGTCTATTCTTCACCAATGAACTCAGAAAGGTAGGCATTACTAGTCATTCCTTCCTAGATTTTGTTTCTTCAGTCTTCTTTCATTCTGTCTTTCTTTCTTTCTTTCATTGATTCTTTCTTGCTTGCTTGCTTTATTTCTTTCTCTCTCTCATTCTTTAATTCATTCTATTTCCTTATTCATTTCTGTCTTCTTTCATTCTCTCTCTTTAATTCATACATTCTTTCATTCTTTCTTTCAGTCTTTCTTTATTTTTGCATTGTTTCTTTCTTTGTTTGTTTCTTTCTCACAATGCATTCTAGTCTAATTCATTGGTCTATGAACGAATAATACCTGATTTTCTGAAAATCTGCATCATCTATTAGCCCTTGAAGCTCCAACAATAATTGTATTGCTTGGATTTAAAAGAAAAGAAGCTTATCCTCTCCTCTGTTTTGCACAATGGCCAATGTTGCTAATTGTTATTTTATATCATGAGGTACATCCAGGAAAATGCAAACTAGTTGTGCCATGTGAAACTCAGAACTTCTGTCTCTCAGAGATATTTGGAAATCTATGAATTATTCATAACATAAGAAATTTGGATGAGAAAGAATATGGAAGAAAGTTGTCAGTAGATGTACAGAAGTTCTACCTTAGTCTGCTCTTAGGGTTGTACTTATTCTATGTCAGCACCTCTTCTAGATTTAAAAAGAAAGAATTTTATGAACTTTGCCTAAAGAATGAGGTTTTAGGGGTGTGTGTGTTAGATACCCTACCCGTCGTAGCAATCCACTACAGTACAGTAATAACAATGACGATGAATAATTTTGAACTTGCATGGCACAAAAATCTGGCTGAAAGAGAAAGTGAATCTGTGTACTAGAAACAAATGAGTTCCGATCCTGGGCTTCATCAGGAAAGACTTGATTATCAACCTGATGAAGTAGCCCCCTGTGATTTGACATCAGGGGAATTCCCTAGTCGATGACTCATACAAAACAAATCAACATGGCTTCTACAAGAGTTTGATGGGAATGGGTCTATTTTGGAAGAAGATTTTAGAGTTCTTGACTGTTCTCACTGTATTAAAGATGAAGTTGAGTTCTGGTTATGCGATTGCATTGTGAAAGAAACGGTGTGGAATCGACCAAAAAAGGTTGATCATCTAGCATATAAGAATTTGTATGTATTGCAAGGTTCTAGAATCATCAAAATGATAAGAAATTTGGCCAAGTCTTGGTAAAGTTACAAACACTGTACACAGAAAGATGTATATGGGACTACACGAACACGTGGCGTAAAAATCCTACCCCCCCCCCCCCGAGTTTTACGATGTTACTGACATATTTAGAATATAAAGGCACTTGAAGAGCCATGCTTTTCAGGGAACATGTCTTATCTGATGATCTTCCACACTTGCATAATAAGAATTATTACGCTCACAAATAATTTTTCACCTCTTCCCAGAACTCAACCTTCTCTTTAATCTTTATTTTGTGTGACACTCAATATTGGCTGCTGGGAGCCAGAAAGGTGTTACTTCATATAAATCCACAGAGTTATCGCCCTTTGATTATCAACAGATTACACATTGATATGATCGAGTTTGATTTGGTTGTGTTTGATCGGGGAAGGGATCTGGCCTTTCGTAGGAAATTGGGGATTTGTTCCAGATTACACTTTCAATACACTTATCTTTTCAAATGTGATGAGAATCTTTTTTTTTCCTTTTTTTCCTCAATAGAAAGAATTAGAGCACACAACTTTGATGTAAACAAAAAAGAAAAAAATTATTTCTTCCTTTAAAGGGACTCTAATGATAGTCTTTATACTACTTACTCATCTGAAAGGATGCATAACCTAGCATGTGTTTACTGTACAGTGTTTTTAAATTTGTTGTGAGAAATCTAGCAGGCAGTTTCAATGTTTTCTTTTATCATGGCAGGCTGTGTACCTTATGCCAACGGAAAGTGACGACTCTTCAAAAAGTGTGCCACTTGCGTTACAGAGGGTGTTCTACGAGCTGCAGCACAGCGATAAACCTGTCAGTACCAAGAAACTCACAAAGTCATTCGGGTAAGCCATACTGTACTAGAAGCATTCCTGCAAAACCCCCTCTCGCACCAGCTGTAACATTAACTCGCTGCTTCCTAGCAGCAAAGGATTTTACTGTCCATAGCTTTGACAACAATGGATCTTAATTTTGTAGTGTTAGCATGGTCGTATTACCGTAATAAGTTGTATTCTTTCATAACTTTTATGTGATTTAGCTCATGTGTGAAAGAGCAATGATTAACGGATATTAAATTTGTTAACTATAACACATTTTATTAACAAAAATAACTTTAAACATTAATACAGCAACAATTTTGATTTATTTAAATGTTTATTGCTTTCTCATTCCCTAATCCTGAAAAAGGGCTGGCTTCAAATCCTTTCAATCCATTGCCTCATGCCTATGGAATAAGTTGATTTCACTTTTAAAAAATTAAAAACGAAAAACATACTTTTACAATTCAGAATTTGTCTTTAGACTATAAAGGTACAGCTCTTTGTATGCTCTGGAAAAAGATGCTATATAAATCCAGTCATTATTATTATTATTTTGGACGCATAACAATGAGAGTCACTCCATACCCATGAAAGTGGTATAAATCGGTCGAAATAAGCTTCTTTCCTTTCTTTTCCATTTCAAGGTGGGAGACGCTAGACTCCTTCATGCAGCATGATGTACAGGAACTCTGCAGAGTGGTGAGTAATTGGTTTGGGTAATCCTTGCTTCTATACTTTGTTCATGGTTTCTGTGGTTGTGTCAAAATCAGAAGTAGCTCTGGGACCCGTTTCACAAAGCCTTTTTTCAATAACAAACGACAAAAATCAGTGACGAATCTGCTGATAACCAATCAGAAGCAAGGATTTCACTAGCTTATAACAGAAACCGTCATTTGTAACTGATGACAAGTTTTGTGAAATGGGGCCTTGGAGTGTAACTTGTCACTAGAGTCCTGTGATATTGTGTGGTTGATGGTTGCGATACCAGGTACATTAACGTTAGGGGAATGAGGGAATGCTTACGTGCAAGATAGGGTGTTTTAAAGAATGGACATAGAGAGATAATTGTAGTTGCATTGATGGCAAGAGGAAATGAATTTTTAGACACATTAAATCTTCACACAAGTCATTGCAATGACAACATGATGTGTCAGAGAGAGAGAGAAAGAGAAGGAGATGAAGAGCTAGGGGGGGGGGGGGTGGTGGTCGAAAGGGAGAGCAAAGGAGCTGAAGAGTCGTGAAAATGGGGAAATTGAGAAAGAGAATGACACCAAAAAAAAGCTAACAAGAGTAAACTAGACCATAGAAGTTTTTGGATTGTGTATTTGAATGTTTAGATATTACATAACCTTTAAAGAGGTGCTCAGAGTGCAATGCTTTATTCTGCTGTTTCTTTAAAAACTAGTTTACAATTAACATCACACATTTGAGATCAAACTACATTGCCTTCGTCAGTTATACATCGATTATTAAATGTTTGTTCTCATTTGTTGCATAGCTCCTGGATAACATCGAGAGCAAAATGAAGAGTACAGTCGTCGAAGGAATCATTCCAAAACTCTTTGAAGGCAAAATGATTGTAAGTATTCATTTCAAGTGCCCTCTTGATTTTAATTTCTCCTAAAATTGTGATTAGCACGCTCTTCAGCAAGGAGGTGAATGCATGAAGAAGCCAGTTCATAGTTGCAGTCTGAGCATGAGCAAATAAAGGTCATTGCAGACCAAAGTGAAATACACAGAGACAAAATACTGGATACATGCTCATGAAAGTTATGTAATCATTATTCATTTATGCACAAGCTGTGCACTCCATGATACACAGGTGGAAATATTCTTTGAAAAGAGGACACAAAGGCTATATGTAGCACCTCCATCGCTGTAGAAGTGATTATTTAAAAATGTTCAAAGTGGGACCTCTTCATGTTTTGAAGATCTGTGGATATTCAGGGTCATTTGGGAGATGTGCTAACCGTGAACTGGTCTATTAGACTTTTCAACTTCATGTGGAAATATGCCAATAAGAAATCATGACTAATTGATGATAAAAGAGAGGAGGAAAAATAATCATTCCAAACACTGGCTAAGTGTGTGTGTGTTTTTCTTTTTTTCTTTTTCCCGCACCATTAAAATTGTAATCACTTCATCAACATTTAGCTGTGTAATTCTAATTATTCTATATGTAAATTATATACATTTAGCAAGGTTTTGCACTGGCTTTATTACATTTGCTATCATTTCTTCTTCTGTCTTCTTGCAGTCATACATCAAGTGTAAGTACATCACATACGAGTCAGGGAGAACTGAGCCATTCTATGACATACAGCTCAATATCAAAGGCAAGAAAAATGGTAAGTAAGACTCTTTACCTGGATGCTGTAATGATGTTAGCAGCAAGTAGGCATCCGGGACCTGTTTCACCAAGCCATTTTTCAATGACAAATGACAAAAATTAGTGGCAAATCTGCTGATAACCAATCAGAAGCAAGGATTTCCCTAGCTTATAACAACAACTGTCATTTTCCACGGATAACAAGTTTTGTGAAATGGGGCCCTGGTGTTGTGTTGAAAAATAGTGGATAGAAACTAATTATGAAGCAGTATGTCTATATTCTTTGTCTCTTCCAAACTCATAAGCAACTTGTGCAAATCTATCCCTTTGAAAGCATATTTGATGAATGTCTGCCCTATAACAACAATAGAGTCTCTCTATTTTGGTCTTCTTGTCATTAGTCTTTCATAATGATTGATGTCAAATGTAGATCAAAAATCTAATTCTCCTTGTCAGACAAGACTACCTTGTCACATAAGCTTTTCATCATTATACAATCATAAACCTCACTAAACTTGGAAGGTGACACTAGAAGAAGATTTGAGAGCATCTGTCCCCCCCCCTCCCCCCTCCCCCCTCCCAAGTGGATGCCAAAGACTGGAAGGCTTAGACCTAGAGACAGGTCATGGAAATGAAACGTCCGACCCCACGGCGCGGGAAAAAACAGCCGCTTAAGGATGATGATGAACTTATGGCTAAAATATGATTGCTCTTGTACAAATGAATTTTATTTCACTTAATTTTCTATATGTCTCATGTAATTCATCTTTTTAGTACATGAATCCTTCAAAGACTACATTGCCACGGAAACGATGGATGGGGAGAACAAGTACGATGCAGGGGAACACGGCATGCAGGTAAGAACAAAAAAATCATTCCACTCCTCAAATCTGAATTATTTTCTAGGAATGTTTCTACCATAAAAAAACAAGTAACACTAACCGTTATAAGCTACTGAAATCATTGCATTTGATTGGCTGAGAGCGAATTCGTCTTAGAATTCTAGCACTTGTTATTGATATCAAGTTGTATGAAATGGTACCAGGAATAGCTTATAATCTAAAGGCCAAGTTTATTTCAACTGTTAGTGCTTTAATATGAATCAAACTCTTTATTGATTTGTAATCCAGTTTGCTTCATATCTGTAACCCTCTTCTTTTTTTTTTATTAGTGTGAATAAAGCAGTGGATTAATATCATTCCTTTAGATTTGAATATGAATGAAACCATGTATTGATCTAAAGAAAAAAAACATTGAATTGAAAATTGTTTAAATATGTGAACGGTACCATGTATTAATGATGAGGACAATTCACATTGTCTAATCCTGTCCTCTTTTCCTTAACATTAAGTGGAGGATTTTAACAGTGAGTGGAATGTTTTAATTATATGTGAATGGAACCATGTATTAAGGTATGAGACCATTCACATTGTCTAATCCTGTCCCGTGTTTCTTCACATAATAGGAGGCAGAGAAAGGAGTGATCTTCACCAAGTTTCCACCGGTCTTACACTTGCAGCTGATGAGGTTTCAGTACGATCCACAAACAGACTCCAATGTCAAAATCAACGACAGGTAAAAGAGCAGCAAAAGAAAGAGTTACACAGAGACTGCAGAAAGAGTGATTTTTAACTCAGCAGAGCTATACAACAAAATAAAAAAAACATGCTCTAGAGAATAAATCTTTTATACTATTGCCTCCAGGGAAATTAGATCTCTTCTATAGATGAATTTAAAATCATCGGTGCATGAAAGAGCATATTGTATCCTAGTATCAAGTAAGGAGGGCATTAAGTATTTGTGTGTGTTATTATCCTTTTGCGTGTGACTTTTATTTGTGTATTTGGGAATTTACATTGGATGTTTATGACTTGCAGCTGAAATTTACTATCTAAAAAAGGATGGATGAATGAATCTGATGACCAGGGATGTGATGATATCTGTAACACGCTTAGAGAGGCGATTCTGTATTGAGGGCTATATAAATCCAGATTTATTATAATTATATATACTTTAATAAAGAGTTAATGCCCTTCTATACAGATGAAGCATCTCTAAAGGTATACAAAATAATCTTCTGTAATGGGTTTGCCACTGTTTAGATACGAGTTTCCTTTCAAGTTGAACCTGGACACCTTCATGAAGGAGGAGGAGGAGACTTCTGCCGACTACACGCTGCATTCTGTGCTGGTTCACAGTGGGGATAACCATGGCGGGCATTATGTGGGCTTCATCAACCCCAAAGGAGACGGCAAGGTCAGTAGAAAAGAGAAAAATACTTAAAGAGAAGGTTGAGTTCTGGGAAGAGATATAAAAATAATTGTGAGTGTTATTATTGTATTATGCAAGTGTGGTAGAACATCAGATAAAAAATGTTCCCTGAAAAGCATGGCTTTTCAAATGCGTTCATATTCTAAATATGGCATGTAACAGCATTACAATCTGTCTCGATTTTGTTTGTGTAGTCCCATACATCTTTTTGTGTACAGGGCTTGTAACTTTACCAAGACTGGGCCATATTTCATAATTTTGATGATTCCAGAACCTTACAGTACTTATATGCTAGATGATCAACCTTTTCTGATCGACTCCACACTGTTTATTTAACAATGCTATCGCATGACCAGAACTCAACTTTGTCTTTAAATAATATTGGATGGCTTTGAGTGTGATACAAAAATACATTGTCATAGCAAGAACAATGTATTCTTGTATCACATAAAAACAAAGCCATATAATATTATTGTCTGTATCAGGCTGACTAGCGAAATAACAAAATTTGATTGACCTCTGTAAATATGGCTCTGTATTTGTGTGATATCGATATCGATAATTGAAGTTCCTGGATGACTGAACAATATTGATCAGTCATCGTGGTACTGCGCTAAAGATATTAAATACACCATATTATTATTATTATTATACACTGAAGCATGTAATGTATCATCTCAGCACCTTTAGAAAAACTGATAACATGATGACATTTTCTGTCTTCCCTGTCTGCAGTGGTGTAAATTTGATGATGACGTCGTCTCCCGGTGTACCAAAATGGAAGCAATAGACAACAACTTTGGTGGTCACGACGAGGACATCTCAGTCAGGAACTGTACAAATGCATACATGTTGGTCTACATACGGGATAGCTGTATGAGTAAGTATACAAATAATACACAGCAGTGAGGGCATTAGTAAGAATTTCCCACAGAATGTACCTTTGGAACAGTCTAACATGCCCGAGGCGATAGTCCAGGGTGTTAGGACTGTTTCAAAGGTACGGAGTGTCAGTAATTTTTGTAATGCCCGAACAAAATGACGAGTATTATTTGTTTTATAAAATGATGTTTTATAACATGATTTTACTAAAGACCGGTCATATGTATTTACTAATGACCGGTCATTAGTCCGGTCATTAGTAAAATTGCTCGTTAGACAAATAAATGCCTGGTCATGTGGACGCTCTCAACCAATCATTTTAGGATCTGCTTCATCATCTTATAATATCCTTTAGTATTGAAAGACCACTAAAATCACGTTCAGATACGACTTGTCAAAACTGTGGTGTTGTTTTTTGTTTAGATGACGTGAAGATGACGCTTCACATTTCTGTATCCTTAAACACTGAGCTCAGTGAACGTGCATAAGTCCTTTGTTGCACGCAGTTGCCATTCAATTAAATGTAACAAAAAAAATGAGGCAGCTTCTTTTTTTTTTTGGGGGGGGGGGGTGGGTGGTGGGGTTTAACGCACCATATCTGAACGTGCCTTTAAAGAATAGGTTTCATTGTCATTTACAGTGAAGTGCACACAATTCTTATCAACTTACATTATCAATCAGAGTGAGATTTGTACGCATTATGTTTTCGGGTTGTCCGTCCGTATGTACGTCCCGTTCTCGTGATCGCGTTATCTCAAGAACCGATTGATTGATTCCCGCCAAACTTGGGTCATGTATGTACCTTACAGAGCCAATGGACTGATTAGATTGGGGGGTCTCAAGGTCAAAAGTCAAAGGTCTCATGCAAAAATAGCTCGTGATCGCGTTATCTCAAGAACCAATTGATGGATTACCGCCAAACTTAGGTCATGTATGTAACTTGGAGAGCTAATAAGCGGATTAGATTTTGGGGTCACGAGGTCGAAGGTCAAAGGTCACAGGGCTCATCATGTATGCAAATATAGCTTGTGATCGCATTATCTCAAGAACTGATTGATGGATTCCTGTCATAACTGAGGTCATGTATGTATCTTGCTGAGCCAATGAACTGATTAGATTTGGGGGTAACAAGGTCAAAGTTCACAGGGCTTATTATGTATGCACAAATAGCTTGTGATCGCATTATCATGAGAACCAATCGACAGAATACTATCAAACTCAAGACATGTATATGTATCTCGCAGAGCCAATGAACTGATTAGATTTTAGGGTGGCTCATTATGTATGCCTATAAATAGCTTGTGAATGCATTATCCTTAAAACCGACAGATGGATTGCAATCAAACTTGAGTTTTAAAAATTATTTCTGTTTTGGTTTGTAAAATTGCTTTCTGGCGGATTGATCATTTTCGACTGCGCGCAGTCAAAGTTCCATCTCGTTTTTTTAGATGCCACTTCGGCAACAAAAGCAGAACTTCTAAGGTTACCTGATCAATACCACAAGCTAGGTCAGTTTTGAAAGAACCATTTATAACTTTGAAAATGTATTTTCTTACCTCTTTAGGTCGGGATATTTTAGATGAAGTTGTCATGAAGGACGTCCAGGAAGATCATATTCCAGAGACGCTCAAGAGGAGGTTACAAGAAGAAAAGTAAGTGACAGGAATATACTTACCGCTCGATCAATCTGTCTTATTTACTGGGTGTAAGCCAGAAATATGTTTAAACAATAGGAATATACTTGTGTAATTCTTGAAATAAACCACCCACTTTCATCTATGGATTATTCAATTCAATTCAATTCATTCAAATCAATTCATTGAAGAGATTTTGTAAAATAATAAAAAAAACTCCCTTTCAATGTTTCTTTTCTTACCCTCTCCATCTTCCCCTTTCTCTATCTCTCTCTCTCTGTCTCTCTTACTCTCTTTCTCTATCCATCTCTATTTCTCGTCCTCTTTCTTATCCTCTTTCTTTCCATATCTCTCCTTTAAACTGATATATATTTTCACTTTTTTCCTCCTTGATTTCATTTTTTTGTAACGTTGTTCGTCTTTCATTTTACAGGAAATTAGAAGCACAAAGGAGAAAAGAGAGGACAGAGGCGCACCTGTACATGACCATTCAAGTGGTCGCAGAAGACCAGTTCTACGGTCACCAAGGCAACGACCTCTTTGACTTCGACAGAATACGATTCAAGTAAGTCTGGCGTCCACGATCTGCATGCCTTTGGTGAATTAATCAATCGGTGTAAAAATCCTGAACCTTGTAGTTTGAGGTAATAGACCAGTTCACGGTTAGCACATTACTGCAATGACCCCAAATATCCACAAATCTTAAAAACATGAAGAGGTCCCACCTTTTACATTTAGAAATAGTCACTCCTGCAGCGATGGAGGTGCTATATAAATAGCCTTTGTTTCCCCTTTTCAAAGAATACTTTCACCTGTGTATCATGGAGTGCGCTGGATGTGCATGAATGAATAATGTTACATAACTCTCATGAGCAGTATCCAGTATTTCGTCTCCATGTATTTCAAAATTTGTTCTGCAATGACCTTTATCTGCTCATGCTCAGACTGCAACTGTGAACTGGCCTATTTAATTAAGAACCCCTGATGAAGAGTGTTGTATGGTGTCCATGAAATTTTACATGAGTATGGATAACATCAATGATTAGGCCTACAAAAAAAAGATGTTGTATTGCCCTTTAGGTCCCATAACATGGGTCAGTCGGTCAGAAATCTTTTTTTTTTCTCCCTCTTTGGGCTGAAATTTCTCAGTTTTGAATGCTTTAATACTCATTGTTGTTATTCATTAAAAAAAAATAAAAAATTAAACGTTACATTTTTTTTTTAATGACGACCGTAGATTTCAAGATTTTTGGGTCGGTCCCAAAGGGCAATACAACATCTTTTTATTTTAGGCATTCTCTGCATGTGCATTCCAAATCGGTGTGGTCTACTCAAAAGATACTTTTACCAACATTTAAAGAGTATCTAAAAGAGTAATATTTAAAGCTTAAATTATGAATGTAGTGCATCTGTATCGAATCATATTATTCAGAGCAAAATTCAAACCAAGTGTGTCACAAAAAAAATATTTTGAACAAGTCTAAACTTTAAAACTATTTTCCATCCCATGCTTTCTATTTACAGAGAGTTCAAGATAATGAAGTCAGCCAGCCTTGGGGACGGGCTAGATGTGTTGTCTCAGTCAATGGGCTACCGTATCGATCAGATCAGGATCTGGCCCTTCTCACAGCGGACCAATCACACCTACAGGCCAACGTTACTAGAGAATGATGACCCGGTCAAACAGGTATAATGTCGCAGGATTTGATCCCCAGAATACCCAACCACATAAATTAATCTAGTCCTAATCTTAACCCTAAACCTACCCTCCTGATTGGATCAGGATCTGGCCCTTCTCAAAATGGACCAATCACACGTACAGACCCACGTTACTAGAGAATGATGACCCGGTCAAACCGGTATAGTGTTGCCCTGCTCGTTTCATTCAAGAAAAATGAGGATCTTAGTGAGATTGAATTGACATGAATATACTTGACTTTCAGTAGTTTTTATTGAGAAATAAACAATTGAGGTGATAGTCAGTCATGATGTGCATTTCAAAAAGGACTAATCATCATCATTGTGGTTATGGTCATCACCTGTTTTCCTCCTCCCTCCATCCTCCACCCTTTTCCTCCTCTCCCTTCTCCTACTCTTCTTCCTCCTTCTCCCTCCTCCCCTCCCTCCTCCCTCCATCCTCTTTCCTCCTTTTTCCTCCTCACCCTCTTTTTCCTCTCCCTCTTCTTCCTCCTCCCTCCTCCACCCTCCCTGTACTCCCTCCTCCTACCTCCATCCTCCCCTACTTCCTCTTTTCCACCTCCCTTTTCCTTCTCTCCCTCTCCTATCTCCTCCAGCCTCCTACTTTTCTTCTTCCTCCTCCAACCTTCTCCCTTTCCCTCCTCCTTCACCCTCCTCCTCCTCCTCTCTCTCCTCCTCTCTTTCCTCCTCCTAATCATCACCATTATCATCATCATCATTATTACTTCTTTACTTTTCTTTTGATCCTAGATGAATGAAGTAGCAGACGGAGACAGTGTATGGACAGTGTTCCTTGAAACGCAAGATCCTGAAGCACCGCAAGTCTGTCTGCCATCATTCGACAGAGAGAGTGAGTGTACACTTGACATTTATTGCTGTTCTGTTTGATGTTGGTGGTTGTGTTAAAGACCACCTGTACTAGTTTGGCTAGGAGGGATTAGACCACTCAGGAAGGTCACTGACAGGTGGCTATCTCATCACCTCAGCTCTCGATTAACACGAGAAAAAGAGGATCATGGGGGACCAATGGTCACCGATTAGGCATTGTTTTCTATATAGAGGGAGCAAATAGTACAGTGGGCCTTTAAGTGTTAATTTTACATAAATGCAGTAACGGGTGGGGAAAGTGTGTGGACATTATTCCCTAAGACGCAAGATCCCGAAGTCAGTTTGTCATACGTCATTTGAAAAAGGTCGCTCTTGATATTCCCTCATAATTTAAGAACATGTATGTCTAATAAAAGGCTAAAAGCCTGGTCCAACTTTTGATGCCATGTGTGTGTGTTTAGTCCCATATAACCATGTTTACGTACTCTTCATTTTAATCTTTGTGATTTTCAGTGAGAATGTTTGTCATCTTGGCGATTTGAAAATGATAAATTTTGTAACCTTTACAGTAATGATACTACAAAAAGGGCATAAAAAAGGAGACTTAAAGCCATTTTACTGCCCTGAAGGGATATAGTTTGTATGTTCGTCATTACAAGTCCCAAGTGTCCTAATATTCTCTCAAAGCTTGTGTATCGGTGACATTTATGATTACTTTCATTTTGTTTAGGTGATGTTCTTTTGTTTCTGAAGCTCTACGACCCTAAGACAAAGAGTCTTTCCTACTGTGGGCATGTCTACGTTCCTATCACTACCAAAATACGTAAGTTTCTTCTTTTTAGTTTGTGATAATACTTAAGTTTTCATAATATTTGCATTGGTGTACTTCATGACCCTGTGTCTATACATTAAAGATAAACTAAGTTCTGGTAAAAAAAAGAAAATGAATTCTCACAGAATCTAACAAAACTTATACTGAATTACAAATAAATGTCTTTTGGCAAATAATTTTGGTAGAAAATGTATACTGGCTGAGTAATGAGCGTAGAAAGATAAGGAAATCAAGGTAAGTAGGCCCGACACCATTTGTGTAGTCCCATATACAACTTTCTGTGTACAGTGCTTGTTACTTTACCAAGACTGGGCCATATTTATTATGGTTTTGATGACTCCAGAACCATGCAGTACACACCAATACTTACATGCTACATGATCAACTTTTTCTGATCCATTCCACATCTTTTCTTTCACAATGCAATCGCATGACCAGAACTCAACTTTATCTTTAACATTGTATTCTTTTCATCTTGAACAGAGGCACTTGTTCCACTGATGAATGAGAGGGCAGGCTTTCCGGAGACAACAGAACTCATTTTATATGAGGTAAGGAATATCAGGGAGAAATGGCGATAAAACTAAATGTTGTGATGGGATGGTGTGACTTGCAATGAGGAACTCTTTTCATCTGTTGATTATGCTTGATAGTGAACATCATACAGTCAAACCTGCCTATTAGGGAAACAGGAAAACTAGCCACTGTAGACAGGTGGCCTTACCAGACAGTTTCTACAAGACAGGTTGTACTGCACAGATTTCCTCTTAGAGGGAGACAACATAGGTAACCATTATAGAAAGGGGATCTCTAAGACGAGATTAACTGTATATAATCAGTGATTCTGCTTTTTTACATTTGTATAATGGCTGTGATGCATAAATCATTCAGCAAATTTTAAATCCATCTCTGATAGGATATTTCCAAAATGTATTAAGGTTAGGGTAAACCTCTTCATGCTAATGTTTTTTTTTTTTTTAAGGTAAACTATTTTAACAACCATTCTCAAGCCTTACTGTAGGCATTCAATTCAATTTAATTTTTATTTCATTCAGTTAAAAAGACATAAATTACATATTAAGAACATATTGGACAAGGACATGAAATAAACTGAATAAATTGCAACCTGAAAGGAAACATAATCCTTACATAAAGGTTGTCCCTTTTTGTCTCGCCTGCGTAGCAAAAAGCGAGACATAGGCGCCGCTTTTCTGGTGACGGCGGCGGCGACGGCGACGGCGACGGCGACGGCGACGGCGTCAACATCAAAAACTTAACCTAAGGTTAAGTTTTTGAATTTTTGGTATAATTTTTAAAGTATAAGTTCTTAGTCAATGAAACTTTGACTATAGGGTAATCAAGTATCCCCAATCATGTGAGTAGAATTTCAGATCACAAAGTCAAGGTCAAAGGTCATTTCAGGTCAACAGACTTGGACTATGTTGTAGCATCATCATCGAAAACTTAACCTAAGGTTAAGTTTTTGAATTTTTGATATAATTTTGAAAGTATAAATTCTTAGTCAATAAAACTTGGACTATAGGGTTATCAAGTCTCCCCAATCATGTGAGTAGAATTTCAGGTCACTAAGTTAAGGTCAAAGGCCATTTAAGGTCAACAAACTTAGACTTTGTTGTGGCATCAACATTAAGATTTTCAAAATGCTTCTTCTTCGTTATTTTTCAACCGATTTTGTTTCCGATTGTTTCATATGATAGGGCTAGGAGGGGATTTAAAATTTCTACACAAAATCGTGAAATTCATTCTCTATGCTAATTAGTGCAAATTTATTCGAAATCACAAAAAAGGCTTCTTCTCCTTCATTTCTCGACCGATTTTGATTTGCTTTGCTTTATATCGTAGAGCTAACTTTGGTACACTAAACTTCTACACAGAATTTTGAAATTGTTCTCCATTAATTAATTATGGTAATTTATGCAAATTTATTCCAAAAATAACAAAAATTGCTTCTTTTCCCTCATTTCTTGACCAATTTTGCCTTATCTGGTAGAGCTAAATTTGGAACAATAAACTTCTACACAGAATTGTGAGATTTTGCTCTGTTGATTATTTATGGTACTTTATGCAAATGAAATGAAATTATGTCCCTTCCAGGGCATCAAATTTCTATTTTTTGACCAGTTCAAAAGTGTACCACATAAAATTTACGATATTTGTTGTTGTGAGATGCGGATGAGCGCTACGTCATTGACGTTCTGGTTTATCATATTGAATTGCGTTATGCAGGCGAGACCGCCGAGAGCGTTTCCCTTGTTTATAATAGAAAATATGAAATATATTCATTACTAAACATTATACAATACACAAATCAAGACAACAAACATACATACAAAAAAACAAATAAAATATGTCTTGAATTCAAATGATTATTGCAATTTACCCAAAAGAAATTTCTCATTCTGATCGTTGGTTTGTCTTTCCTACCCAGGAGGTGAAGCCTAACCTGACAGAGAAGATAGAAGACCTGAGTCAACAGATGGACAAGGGTCTAGATGAGCTCATGGATGGTGATATTCTTGTATTCCAAAAGTAAGGAGATATTCTGCTATCTCTTCAAGGCCAACAGGGAGGGTGGGGACGAAATGGTTTTAGCTGAGGATTAAAATGAGTGATGAAAATGTTGCTGATGAGTTTCTGATGGTATAATTAAATCTGTTATTAAATAAACATTTACTTTACTCGTATTAAAGAGAACTGTTGCTGAGCTAGCGAGATGAGCGCCCCTGGAGGGCGTGTGCGCTCTATAAGTTTACACTATTATTGTTATTATTGTTATTGTTAGACCAAACATGTTTGCATATTTCGCTTGCACCTTAGATTCACGAAAGTTTCATGTTTGACATAATTGAGTCACAATTTACACAACACTAAATCAAAATATTTGCAGTTCATGAAATAATCTTGCCATGATAATGGCTTTCCCCTTCACAATTTATGAAATTTTCATGTCTCAAAAGTTTCTGGTTTTACAGAATAAATTCAGATATCAAGAGACTCTCTTATGCTAGGAGGAGTAGAAAAGTCAAAAATTAATTTTCAGTCAAATTTTGTTTTGAATCGATCATGGGACAGTGGTCCTGGAATCTGGAGATATGGGTATGTGAACACATGCCTGGCTGCTGGATTCCTCAGTTGATGCATAAGTAGTTAATTACTTGAGCCTCTCAGACTCTAATTGCAGAGTTGATTGCCTCTATAGCAAAGAAATCTATAAGTATGTGGTACTGGTAATTAATCGTTTCTACTGCTGTATTTCAGGGACGATCCCGATAAGATGCAATATGACCTGCCGACGGCCCGAGACTACTTCCGCGACCTCTTCTGCCGGGAGGAGGTGACCTTCTGTGACAAGTCAAACCCTCGTGACCCGGGCTTCACGCTGGTCCTCTCCAACAAGATGAACTACTTCCAGTTCGCCAAGGCGGTGGCCCAGCATCTAGACACGGACATGATGTTACTTCAGTTCTTCAAGAGTCAAGGGTGAGTCAAACATTTCTTTTATGAATAAGCTCTCATTTTTTTCTTCAGTTGGTGATGGTGATGATGAAGAGGAATGATGAAGAGGAATGATGATTATATTGAGTATCAGTGATAATGAAGAGTGATGAAGGATCAATGAAGGATGTTGAATGGTGATGATGATGGTGATGATGATGATGATGATTATGATGGTGATGGTGATGGCAATGGTGATGATGATGACAATGGTGATGATGATGGTGATGATGGTGATGCTGATAATGGTGATGGTCATCATCGTGACAGAGATGATGATTATATTGAGTATCAGTGATGATGATGAATGATGAAGGATCAATGAGAGATATTGAATGATGGGCGAATGATAATAAAAGTAGTGAAAATGATGGTAGATGATGACGATAAATGATGGATATAATCATAATGACGATGATCATCATTGTGACAGAGATGATGATTATATTGAGTATCAGTGATGATGATGAAGGATCAATGAAGGATCAATGAAGGATGGGTGAATGAAAATAAAGGTAGTGATGATGATGATGGTTGATGAGGATGATGATGATAATGATGATAATGATGATGATGATGATGATGGTTGATAATGATGATGATGATGATGATTTTAATGGTGATGATGTTGATGACATTGGTGATGATGGTGATGGTGTTGACAATGGTGATGACGATGATGACGATGTTGATGGTGATGATGGTGATGACGATGATGATGGTAATGACATTGGTGATGATGGTGATGACGGTGATGACAATGATGATGATGGTAATGTTGATGATGATGATGAATGATATAATAATGATGGTGATGGTGGTATTAAATGATCAATACCATGAACTAAAATAAACCCTCCGTCCCACCTACCCATTGACTGAGCTGCGTCTCCTGTTTGCTTTAGTCACAGAGATGGACCTGGCCATCCTCTAAGATGTACGTTTGAAGGTACATTACGAGATCTCCTACCGCCCACCAAGTCAAGGCAACCTAGGAAACTCTACTATCAGATGGTGAGTGCATTCATATGTTTAAGTATGTGAGTCAAACACCCAAGAGGCATATCTTGTGTTTTGTATGGAGGGGGGGGGGGGGGTACAGTTTCAAAATTCTATAAAGCAAAAAAACCAACAAAAAAAACCATGATAATCAAAAACTTTTGTTTTTAACAAAAAACAAAAAAAAATGTTTCCAATCTTAATATTATTTAAAATGTCTCTAGCAAACTATGTTCTCTAGATGCCTTTTGGGTGAGAACAAAAAAGAGAGTGTGGGGCACATTTTCTTTTGGGTACTTATGTTTTCAGCTTGTCGCAATTTTGTTTCGTTTGTTTTGATTTGGATATCAATAAATTAGTTTGAATTGAATTTGTAAGCAATAGTGGGTTATAAAGTGTGGGGGGCATGGACCTGTTGTGTGCCCAACCCGTTTGTGTGCCCAACCCGTTTGCAACTGAATTGCTCCACCTGCACTTGGCCTGTAAATGTGACATTAATCAACCCATTTTGTTTGGTTAAATATCACAATAAATATATGTGAGCAGTTTGAAAGAACCAGTCGTTTCAAACAGTGACATTTTTTTTATTCAAGTTAACATCATGGCTATCTTTCTATTTGTTCTTACTTGCTTTGATGTTTTGATGTAAACATTTATTTATTTTTATATATTTTTTTCCCATTTGCTATGTTTTTCTTCATATATATATATATATGTGTGTTTTTGAATATGATTGTATGTTTGATGTAAACTTGCATTTTTAGTCTTTGGACATTTTGACAAGTCTTGAAGAAAACCTTATTTGAATTGAATTGAATTTAGCTTTAATGTAGCATTAAATACCATGATGAATATATCTCTGAGCAGTGACAGAATCACTTTTTTTTTTTTAATAAACAGTATCCTTTTATTTCACATTCATATCAAGTCCACCTTTCTCTCACTTCTCTTTGACACACAGTTGAATATCAGGATAGATGAACTAGAGAACAAGAGGCAGTTCAAGTGTATATGGGTCACAGATAAGCTCAAGGAGGTGGTAAGTCATTCACCAATATATAAAAAACATCCAGGGCAGTGTTTCACAAATATCCTAAGTTTAACCAATCTCTAAGTTGGACTTAACTATTATGGAGAGCCATTTGTAGCCTTAAAATAAATAATATTCAAAAGCAAAACTTCAAGTATTTTAGACTTTTCATAAATTCCACATCAAGAACATGAAATCTCATTGATAATAGAAAATATGAATATTTTGAATCAACATTTTATGCTTAGAGTAAAGTTCAACTTGAGACCTTTGTGAAACACACCCCCCCCCCAGGTTTATTATTACGTGGCTGCCAATGATTCCTATATTTTTGGCCTTCAAGCTATTGTTTTGAACCATAGATTCCTCTCTTTTTCTAAAATACTTTTTGTGAAATGTATACAAAATAGACTGTATTCCTAATTTTGCCTTGAGAGATTCCTCATTTTTGCTGTGAAAGATTGGCAGGTATGTTATTAGTATTGGGTATTTGGCGTCGGGAAAAGCGAACTATATCACTGTGACCCTCTGGTCTCTCCTCCCTGTATAACTGATTGGGGTGTACAGGTGTACCACAACACTGATGATGCCTACTCCTATTGAAGTAGTGCAGTGCAAAGGGGGTGACTGTCCTCTACACAGGGTCTCAATTGAATGTCCTATCCAAGGGACACACTGTAACATAGCCTGCATCTGTGAAACAGGGGAGGCACGTAAACACGCAATGCAGGCTTCAGACACTTGCCTAAGTTGGATTTGAATCCATGATCTGTCAACAGGCAGACACTTCAGCGACTAAGCCAAATTGCCTCCCGTCAAGAACAAAACATTGGATGTCTGATTACGGAACATCAGGCCCTGTCTGTCTTTTTAACATCTTTAGGGCATGGGGAGAAATGTCTCTAAAATGAAAGAGTTCCTCAGCTGATTTGTTTCATTCTATTTTACCGTCATGTCTTTTATTTGCAGGAGGTTGTACTATATCCTAACAAGACGGACACAGTCAGAGACATGTTGGAGGAATCTAAGAAGCATGTACAGCTCGCAGAGAATGGCACTGGAAAACTTAGGTAAGTGTCAGAAGCATCATACATCCAATCATTCTGAATGTCCACAACTGATCAGTTCATCTCCAGATCGGCAACACTATGTATTTTTGTTTCTTTTATTGCCAATTAGAAAGAAGGATTTGACTGAAACTTGTGGAGTTTAACAATATGACATCTGTATTTTAAAATAGTTGTTGCAAATATACTGTGAAACCTTTTCCCAATTGAAGGATTTCAGTGCTTAACTACTAGGGTGAAAGGTCATGTAATACAGCAAAAATAGGTGCAGGATGTGAAGAAATGATTGCTTTTTCTTTAAGGCATTTTGTTCTTTCCATAAAATTCTCTTTCTCCAACATGTTGGTATGATCTTTGTCAATTTTTTTTTTACTCTTGTATATGTGCAAAAATTCACTTTGATGCAATTTTTTGTCTCTGTCTTGATTCGCAGGTTATTAGATATCATCAGTAACAAGATCTTCCAGCAGTTTGCAGAAGACACACCCATCGAGAACCTGGCCTTACAGGGGACCAAGATGTACAGACTAGAAGTGAGCTTCAGTTTCTATCAATATATTGTAGTTGGCTTTGCCTTTAAAAGTATAATTGTTATGGTATAATGTCTTTTGAACGAGGTAAATAGCGTATTTTCTATTGCTACATACATATCGTATTTGGCATTAGATGGAAAATATATCATTGCTGGTAAAGGCTCTATTTTCTGTTGATATGTATAACAAGAACTCAACAATTGAGTGCATATATGCAGGGCCTCTGTAAATTTTTCATTTCATTTATTTTCATATTTCTCATAAGCATATATATACACATACCTGCCAACCTGAGACAAGAGAAATTAGGAGTAAATTTTTCTGGATGGACTACGAGGTCGCGAACCACCGAAGGATTGGGGTAGTAGCCCGTAGATTGGGGGGGGGGGGGAACTAACGATCACGTTCGGGCTGCGCTGTGTATATCTTCTATGAGCTCGAGCGCGGATGTCGGCGTGATCTGGTTATCAGTGCTGTGTTATGCTTTAGTCTTATACATATTGGTATTTATTGAGCGCCTTTACATGAACATGCTCAAGGCGCTTTACATTTCGAAATACAAACATAATAGTTATATACTCTCCAAGTGCATTACACTCTAAAAAAAAAATAAAAAATAAAAAATAAAAAAAAATTTAAAAAATTTAAAAAAATCGGAGTTTTGAGGCATGCATTCGGAATTCGGAGTTGGTATGAAAAATGCGGAGGAACTCCGCCTAAATCGGGGTGGTTGGCAGGTATGTATACATATACATTTCAAATAAAGTACAAAATTGTTTTATTCAATAACACATAATAATAACAAAGATAAGTGGTCAATATGAATTAGTGATTTAACTAAGAGAAATATGATGGGACCTACATGAAAGCAAGCTTGTAAAGCTGTAGGCCCCAGTAAAGTATTTGTGGTAAATGAAATGCATGACTTTGTATCTTCTGAAATGCCCAGGAAATTCCTCAATACCAATACAAGTTAAGGGATGATGAGATGATAGTATATGTAGCTCACTTTCAAAGGGATCTCTACTTCTTGTTTTCTCTTTTCACTTAGTAATTCCTGAAGACAATCTTAATTTAGTCATGATGATAGTGCAAGATGGCATACACCTGTATTTCTTACTATGTATTTTTTTTCTCCATTGCTCAGGAAATTCCTCAAGACCAATACAAGTTAAGCGATGATGAGATGATAGTATGTGTAGCTCACTTCCAGAAGGATCTCTACAACACGTTTGGTACACCCTTCTTTGTCAGGTTAAGAGAGGTAAGAAGCTAATAACTCTAATAATTTTGTCATCCTGCCAGGTCTCCATTTCTCTCTTGGGTATGGAGTGGCAAATGTAGATTAATGCCTTGCCAAAGGACAATAGATACGACACCTGAATGTCAAGCACTCTTTGCTTTTCTCACTTAACTCTGTGGTGTTGGTTTATTTGAAGCAGATTACCTCCTCATGCCTCAATAGGCTTTCAAATTCTGCCACTTTGTTCCAGTTACCGGGAGGCTTAAAATTACAGAGAATTAATTCTTCATTGTGAGACAAGCATCAAAGAGAAAAAATGATTCATTGTCATTCACAAATCGATAGAACCGTAGTCCTAAGATATTTTTGTATACTTTTCACTTATTTTCCATGTTATTGATCATGCCAAAAGAGGCAATAGTGATTGTCAATGATACAGATAACAATGATCTCTGAAGTACTTTTTTTTTAATGTTTTTTTTAAACACAAATTTAATGAGGTGTTTTTATTGGTACTTTCAATTGTTTTACAAGTGATACATGGATGACAGTGAATGATAATTCATCTTCTGTTCAATTTGACAGGGCGAGGCATTCTCCAATGTTAAGGAGAGGATACGAGAGCAACTAGACGTCTCTGAGAAGGAGTTAGAAAAGGTATTTAATGGAACTTCAAGAACACTGTATTAAAGACCCTATCCGATGAAAATACAACCTGATATAAATGGAAAACTGAATGAATGTAGAATACAAATATAAAGGAATAAAAAGTATTTACCCTTTCATTATTGCACAAAAGCAAATTAAAACCTCATTTTCCGCACCCCTCCAAATTACGGGTGAACAGGGGTCAAATTTTTCCAAAGTTACAGTGACGACATAACTTGTGGATCAGACCGGTTCACCTATATATCTGAGGCGATGAGCCATGCTTAATTAATGCAAAGCATTGTGAATATGCGTACTCCACATAAGATGATGTCATCAAGTCGATAGCAAGTTTTTAGGTAGACAACTTCAGATTTTTAAAGCTTTGGATTTTGAGTTTTCAGAGAGCTGATACTCCTCCGACAGACACTAAAATGGCATTTGATTAATATTATTGTAATTCATCCATTTCATTTTTCAGTTCGGATATGGTCTTTAAGTTTAAAACCCCAGATATATAGATAACTGAAGTAACCAAATTTGATAGTAAGATTAAACGAGAACTTACCGTTTGAAGTTTGATCTTTATTTTATGAATATTTAGGAGGAAGTTATTACATGAGATCCCGCCAAGCGCATGCGCAGTCAATATTCAAAGCTACAAATGTGGCTACTCTCAATAGTAAGGAACAGGGAACTTACACTTAAGTTTGAAGTTTGGGTGGGTGAGGAGGGCATGTAATAACTTCCTCCTAAATATTCATAAAATAAAGATCAAACTTCAAACGGTAAGTTCTCGTTTAATCTTACTATTTTATTTCATATTTCGTCGTTCGAAATTACATGAGATTTTGAAGCATAGTAGTCACATTTGGAACAACCAACATGTACGGAAAAGTGAACACTGATTATGCAGATTGAATTGAATGCTTCTAATCAATGACTCACCATATTTGACATTTATTGTAGTCTGTTCATACATGTGGCAAAACATTTCACATACAAGACGTCCATATATAAGATGTCATAATGTTGCAAAAACATTGTTCGTTTCTGTATCTAGTCTATTCTAGACATCTGGTTTCTTAATCCCAGTTCTATTAAATAGATAGCTGGTCTCTTAATGCCAGTTCTATTGAAAAGCCTTCTGATGCAGTTCTTAAAGCAGTGTGCTATCTTGTAAGACTGCCTGGGTAAAGTTTCTCTTGTTTTCAAAAGGTTTCCTGTAGAACTTCCTAAACGTTTTCTCTGAAGACCATCCTGCTCGGGCTAGGATCTGGTCCATTGGAAGTGCTGCCTTGGCAGCTGCTGAAGTTGATGCTGCCCGCGTTGAATGAGCCTTATAAACGTTTGTATCCACACCTGCTCTTTGCAAGCAGGTCTTGATCCAGCGAGATAAGGTTTGAGTTGTTACTCTATTATGAGGTCTGGTGTAACTTACAAAGAATGAGTTCTCATTCCCACGAAGTGGTCCTGTGCGCTGGACATAATGTTTCACATATTTTACAATACACAATCTTCTATCAGGTGGATATGCTTCCAATTTAAAATTAAAATCGGTATTTCCTGGTTTGCTTTGCTTCAAGTGTTCATCCAAATGAAAAACCACAAAGCCCCCTTTTAGGGTCATCTTGTTAGTCTTCAATATATGCAAGGTTTGCACTCTCTGTGCCGATACAAGAGCCATTAGCATACATACTTTGAGTGTTAAATCTCTGAGGTTTAAGGAGTTTACTGGAGACAATTTTCTTAGAAAATTGAGGACTGGACTAATATTCCATATTTCTGTATATCTAGGTACGACAGGTCTGAGTTGAAAAACACCTCTCATCAGTCTGGTTATAAGTGGGTGAGTACTTATTGTCTGATTACTGTCAACGAGAATCAGAAAAGTGGATAAAGCGCTACGAGCTGTATTGATCGCACTGTAGCTAAGGTTCCTGTCATGAAATAAACTACTAAGGAATTCTAGTACCGTTTCCACCTCGGCTTGGAGGTAACTCGTATTCCTGCTGTGGCAAAATCTTCGCCACTGTGTGATGTACACTTGGTACTGCTTGCAGGTTGATGCTCTCCATGAAGCTGTAATGATATCCACTGTTCGTCTGCTTAGTCCCCGATTCTCAAAATGTTGCCGCATAACCTGCAACATAGGAGGTCAATATTAGCATTAAGAGGGTGGGTGGTGTTTAACACAGGAAGGAGTAGCAAATCTTCTTGCCTCTGGATAAACAGTGGCTCTCCTTCCATCATGCTAACCAACTGAGGGAACCACGCCTGAGTAGGCCAATTAGGGACCAGAAGTAACCCTCTAGCTTTATCCTCTCTGATTTTTTGCAAGCATTTGGGGATCATACAGAACGGTGGGAATGCATAGAATGCAAAAGGTTTCCAATCTAGCGTAAATGCGTCAACTGCAAAAGCCCCAGGGTCTGGGTGCCAAGTGACATATTTCTCTACTTGAGCATTTAGTCTCGAGGCGAACAGGTCTATTTCTGGTACACCAAAGTGGGAAACTATTCTATCGAACACTTGTCTGTTTAGTTTCCATTCTGTTCGATCATTAAATTTCCTGGATCTTTCATCTGCAATAGTATTGAGCCGACCAGGTACATGGGCTGCGGAGACCCAAATATTTCGAGAAATGCACCACTGCCAAATTTCTCTCGTCATCTTGTCACACATTGCGGACTTGCAGCCTCCCATGTGATTTAAATAAGCCACTGCAGTGGTATTATCTATTCTTACCATCACATGAACGTTACGCTTATTCATGCAAAAGGATTTTATCCCCAACCCAGCGGCTAGGGTTTCCAGGAAATTTATTTCATTGTTTCGTGCCCTTTCTGCCTCAAATTCATTCCAACGACCCCCTGTTTGCTTCTGGAGGTCAGTAGCTCCCCATCCAAGGCCACTGGCATCTGTGTACAATTCTAAGTCAGGTTTTTTCCTAACAATTGGGGAGGAGGCCATAGAAACATTGTTCATCCACCACTTTAACTCCTCTTTTGCCTCAAGGGACAACTTCATCTTTCTGTCAAAATGACCCCTGTTTTGTCTGAGGGCTGCAATTTTGTCCCTTTCCATTGATCTATAGTATAAGGGGCCATACTCAACCGCAGGGAAAGTTGCTATGACCTTCCCAATCACTCGTGCTACCATTCGTATTGATGGGAGGTACGTGCCCATTAATTCACGGCATAAATCTTTCACTTCTTGTGCCTTTGTTTGAGGCAATTTAACAATCATACTCTCAGTGTTAAGAATGAAGCCAAGAAAGGCTAGTTCACGTGTTGGGATGAGCACTGATTTTTTAGTGTGAATGAGGAATCCTAATTCTGAGAGGATCTTGGTTGTTGCACTCACACTCTCTTTCAGCTTTTCTTTTGTTTCACCAATAATTATGGTGTCGTCCAAATATCCTATGACTGTATGACCTGCTTGTCGCAGTTCGGCAAAGACTGGCTTCAGCAATTTTGTGAACAGTCTGGGGGCTGTGCTGAGCCCATTAGGTAAGGCTGCAAATTGCCAGCGCTCACCCTGCCACATGAACCTCAAGTATTTTCTACTATTTGGGTCTACTGGAATGGAGTAATAAGCATCTTGGAGGACGATTGATGCAAGATAACAGTGCGGAGAAATCAAGTGCTTGGCAGTGTGGATGTTATCCATCTTAAAGTGTTGTACATTCAGACTTTGATTAAGCTCTGATAAGTCTAAGATCATACGAGTACCCCCATCTTTCTTGGGTCTCGTGAAGATGTTTGAGAGGAATTCTCCCTCTTCAAATGAGCAAGGTTCTATTACGTTTTTTGCTTGTAGAGCCAAGATTTCTTTAGTAATCTGATTTATTTCTAAAGGGCTCTTTTTGTAACCGTAGAGGGGCTTATTTCTTGAGGGAACCCCTTTCGAATAATCAAATTCGATCTCATAGCCTCGCACTGCCGATAGCAGAAATAGATCTGACGTTAATTCACGCCATCTACGATAGAAATATATCAATCGACCTCCAACAGGCACATTTGAGATGCATTCTTGTTGTAATGTACATGAAGTAGAAGGAGCATTAACATTCTCACAATATTCATATGTGCTACTTACCTCTTTGGGTAATGGTGTAGCTATTTCCTCCTTGCTGCCTGTGGCCGCTGGAAGGATTGGGTCTGTTTTCCCATGCTCATCGTCTGGGTGTGAGGCGGAGCTCTGTATGGTCTGCCTCGTTGGGTTCGCTGGCCTAAAAAAGGCGTGTTGTAGTTCCCACTTGCGGGCCTGCTACTTGGAAAAGTTTGTGATGTGCCGGTGGCACGGTTCCATCCTTGTCTGCGGTATTGAAAAGTGCTGGACGCTTGCGTCCTGTACGGATGGTACTGGGGGCGGGGTGTACGTTGTCCACGCACCACGCCAGATGCAGCTTTTTGTTGTTCTGTAAGATCTTTGACTCTCTTTGTTAAGTCATCGCCAAATAAGTACTGACTCACTGGTGTGGCAGGTTTGCAAAGATGTGAGTACTTGGCATTTAAGTCTGGCTTAATCTGATCTTTGCGTAAGCAGTTGATTTCAAAGTTTGTGTTACACAGCAATGCCAATGCATCCTGTTGTGTCTCAGATAGGCTATCGGGGGACAGAGTTTGAATAAAAGCTGTGAGTCCCCTTGTCAAAGGCTTTTGGATTCTTTGCAGTTTCAAATCACGGCTTCTCGTTTGCGAGGATAGGTTTTCCCATATTGCTGCATTCACTTTGGGGCAACACAGTGGAGTACAATTGCTTGGAGGAGGGTATTTCCCTCCAGCTTCCTCCAACACATTTTCCTCTAGCTGGTGGGACATGAGGTACATGGCAGACTTTGCTAAATCATCGTGGATCGCGCCACCAACCCCAGTAGGGATAGCAAATTTCTGAGCCAGGGCAGGAACTTTGTCCTCATTCTCCTGGTCTAAACCTGGTGCAACAGTTTCGTTGACATCACCCTCATCCATGCTGCCAATGTCATATGACGTAGGGCATTGGCCCATGTTTCCAGTGTCAATATGCTCAAAATCATCATCATCATGTTCAACTTCACGAAATCTCACGTTCGTCGCAGCTGTATATGCTGTCGGTGGTGTATCCCCTGTGGGGCGAGTTGCAGATTGACAAGGCAAAAAATCCACCATTCTCTCCATTAAGGATTCCAATTTGTCAAGTCTTCCTCGTAAATCCGTGAAGTCCTCCTTTTCTTCAGGCTTTTTGCCCTTCTTTTTAGGCCTAGAGTTCTTAGACTCATTCGAGGCAGGCTTTGCCAAGACACTTTTGCGTTTCGTATCGGAGGATTTCACTGCCGATGAGCGCTTTGGCTCAGGCTTCGTAGAGGGGCCCGCGGCGGTTTCGCCCGGGGAAGTTCCGGCTTTAGCCGTGCTCAGCGTTTCGCTGGTTATCTGCTTGGTGCTGCCTGACGGAGACGCCATCGTGTACGTGGAAATCGGAACAAAACTTCGATTTTTGATATAAAAACAGCACAGATTCTCAAAAGTCTTCCAAAAACATGAAAAAGGAGAGTTTCTCTCCCTAATGAAGTATTTTTTCGAAACCGGTGGTCCGAAAAAACGCCCGAAAAATTAGGTATTTTGACTGCTGAGGGAAAGTTACTTTCCCTGTAAAAATCAATTGCGCGGCGAATTGACTGCGCATGCGCTTGGCGGGATCTCATGTAATTTCGAACGACGAAATATGAAATAAAATGAAATATGCAGACCATTCATGATTGTGATTGCAGAGCCAGTTTACTCAAATCAACACCTATTTTCAAAGTTGAAATTGCAATCAAGAAACTGTGCATAACACCTGTAATCAAGCTTTTGCAATACTCATCAGTATTTTATGTATACCTTTTTTTTTTTTTTTTTGCATTTTCAGATCAAGTTTGCAATAGTTGTGATGGGTAGACAGACGTACATCGGGGAAGGTGAGTTGATGAGAAAATGTTTTCTCTGTCAAAAATAGACTTGGTCCACACTTTCTATGATGTCCGTATTCTGGTGACAAAATGTTTATGATGGAATCAAAACAGTCCATTTTTTCTCATTTTTTGTTAAGGGGTGGGGGGGGGGGGGAGTGTTTCAAGAGATCTCTGTCTATAAATACATAGTAAGGGGTTAATTTGTTCAGTGATGGCAAAATAATAGGAAATATGATGTGTTAATATTTACAGACAAATTATTGCATAAAATAGGTAGCCACCACATACTAATGAAAATTGGAAGCTATCTTAGGTCTCGACCTGAGATCTTGATAGTTTTCACCTCTCATTATCAGCTAAAACATCAGTTTCACAAACTTTACTACCAAAATTGTTGGCATGCTTTAAATTTTTCCTGATTTCAATGAAGGTGTGAAAGATAGTCATATACAAAGGCAACAAGCTATAGGACATCATGTCTTCTTGAAGTAATATTTGTCTGTCTTGCCATTGTTTTCTCTCAGAGCAAGAGTACACCGTACGACTGAAAGACTTCCAGCCACAGGGACATGCATGTAAGTATAATCAATCGTACCCTAAAGAGTTACCAATCATATCAAAACATAATTTGATCACTTGGTTTACCATAGCATTGCCAGACATAGCAACATGTAATGTATGCAAGGTTCATTCTGTCCACACACATGGACTTCATGGACGTTATACCAACAAGCAAATTCCCTACTCTGTCATGATAGGTTCCAGGAACGAACATGTTTCAATTAAGATGTAGTAAACCTGATGTAAGAAGGGGATGCCTAGGTTCTGTTACATCATTTTAATCACATGGAAGACGACACAATAGGACACATAATAATAATAATAATAATAATAATAATAATGATAATAAAAACGTTGCTTATAAAGTGCTTACCACTAAAGTCTCTAAGCACCATAATAAACAAAATAGAGTGATAAACAATTACATATAAAACAAAACAAAAAAGTGCAACTAAACCTACAAACTTCAGAATGGCTGGATCATTTGTTTTGGCACGAGTCGTTGGAGGATCCTTCATGCACTCTTTCCCATTCCTCTCTCTTTGTTACAGCTAATCCCCAGCCTAGGCCGTGGCTGGGTCTGGACCATGTCAACAAGAACAAGCGACCCCGATACAACTACGTGGAGAAACCCATCAAGATCTTGAACTGACAAACACTTAACAGACCCAGCCGTACGTACGTACCACCGCTGGAACATTATACAAAACACTTAGAATTTACATAGATATAAATACCGGGGATATAATGATGGAGATTTCGATAAATGGAAAACAGATGGAGGGATAGACGGACAGATATATGGATGGATTGATAGTTCAGTGGACAGAGGAGCCAGGAAAGGAAGGATTTGTAACCAAAGAGCTTCAAGCTGCCAGCAGAGGATTCTAGAGAGGATGGATGGAGGAGAGCCGATGTGAAAGCAACGGCAGCGTCGAGAGAAGCACTTGTTAACACTGAAACGCCATTGTCATAGCTGTTAGGGATCCAACACATCTTTGTGAACATGTGTCTTTACTGTGTGCCAATTCCCCTCTTCATGACCTTAACCTTTTCGTGACCCTCCCTGAGGAAACTTTTAAGATTAAGAAATGTAAAAAATAATGTCCGGGCTTGCTTATAAAGCAACCAGTGCTGTTTCAAAAACGATAAATAGTGATATCTAATTTTTTTAGAATAAAATGACTTCTCCTCATACCAATAATCATTGATTTTCATCTTCACCGCAAATATTGAGGTATTGAGTTCAACCTGTGTATAGAGTTTACTTATGAAAAATTGTTAAGAGTGGCCAAAGTAAACAGGAGGCCTTTATATAGTGATGGCTACTATAAGTGGTCTGACTGTCTGTCTGTCTATATTAGGCTATTTTATGCTGTATTAATTTTAACTTGTTTAGATTAGTTACCCAAAAATAAAAGTGGCCACTATAAACAGGTGGATTTATATAGCAGTGACCGTTGTAGTTAATCTGTTTATATGGCTTGATTTTGGTCTGGTCTGCATTTAGAATAGCATCGATTACACTTTCCCCAAAAGATGACACTTAAATCCTGCAAGGGTAAGAAAGAGATTAATTGGTTATGAACCATGGTCGTTGGCTGTGCTCATACGAGAATGGTTCTCCGCAGCACTGGCCGTAGCCTTGGAGACACACCCACATCATGTAGACTGGGAGACATGCCCACATCATGTAGTCTGGGAGACACGCCCACATCATGTAGACTGGGAGACACTCCCACATCATGTAGACTGGGAGACACTCCCACACCATGTAGACTGGGAGACACGCCCACGTCATGTAGTCTGGGAGACACGCCAACATCATGTAGTCTGGGATACACGCCCACATCATGCCACTCACACCTTTGTGTTTGCGCCAAGGCCATCCATGTGGGGTGCCTTGGCATGGCACTTGTGTCGTCTGCAAATCAATGCTTAGAAATGTAATAGTTGGTATATGTATACATGTAGCAATCCTCACGGCTGTTGCTTGTACCTTACAATAGCAAGGTCATTATTAAAGTTGTTTATATTCTGTACACTTGCTTGGCCATGTCCCTTTGACGTAAGTTTATCAAATGATAAATTGCACACCTTTGAAATTCTTCTTATCCATTGCCACTTAAAGCCCCACCGCACTAGTTTGGCCAGGAGGGATTAGACCTCCCTGCATGGTCACATAGTGCAGTGGGGCTTTAAACCACACAGTTCTGTCAAATATTAGTGCTGCTTGAAGGGCATCTCTCCAGAGGCATTCAATTAAAGTCATTTCTAGGAAAAGAAACAAAGTTGATTTCCACTACAGTATCGTTATAGTGCATTCACCCAAACTGGCAGCATCTTGTATAATGTTCATGTACTAATATATAATGTATTAGCATTGATCTCATGACATCCCTCCAGCTTGTAATTATTCAGCGATGATTTTATCTGTATGTCATGTCGACTCTGACAGTCCAAAAGTACACAGTATTTTCAAAATTCAAATTTTATCTTTCTTCTTTTTGATGTTTCCTTTGTATTTATTTTCTTTCTTTTTTTTCCGGGAGAGGTAGAATGGTTGTCACGGAAATGATGCTTTGCTCAATCAAAGTTTTATAAATCAGATGATCATCTTATTTCTGTTTTTTTTTTCCTTCTTCATATCAACAAAATACTCAAGTTATGAATTTTAACAAACATAATAACATATAACGTTAGTAGCATTATGAATGTAAGTGAAAAGATAAAGAAGTGTTTTCCCTATAAACCTACAATGTACAGCAGACTTAAATAGAAAAGTCAGTTATCAATTACATGAATGTTGCACTATTTATATTATTTCATTGCATTAATTGTTCATATTATTCATTGAATACAAAGAAAAGAAAACAAATGAGCATAAAATCAGGGAAAGGAGTATATATATAAGAGAATGATCAGAATGTGATCATGCTTAAATGTAGCTGATTAAAAGTGAGCTGATTCGACACATTTTAGTGAAGAAAAATCATTTTAGTGGTATTGTATGCAAAAGAAACAAAGAAAAAAAGAATTGCTAGAGGTAAATTGTTTTACCATATCAAATGAGGGTTCTGGGCCCCAATTTCACAAACCTTTTTTTCATTGACAAATGACAAAAATCAGTGACAAATCTGCTGATAACCAATCAGAAGCTTATAACAAAACTGTCATTAGTCACTGATGACAAGTTTTGTGAAATGGGGCCCTGGTCTTAATTTAGGAAAGGCTTTTTGACTTGTTACATCCATGGTGAAAGTTATAGTTATGATGGCAATGTTAAGAAATAATGATACTGAAATTATGGGTGACGAAAAAGAGGAAAATAAATTGAAAGATGTACTGGAACAGACTATCACCTACAAAAGGGCTTCAAATTGATTTGCAAAGAACCAATGCAGATAGTCAGGATAAATCATCCGTCTAAATATTATCTTGGTCATATTTGTGAGATTCCAGTATACATGTACATGGTAATGCACTTCTCATTAATCTCTATGTGTATTGCTGAACACATGACTTGTTGCATCTGTTCATCGCTAGAAGGGCGTCGACCCTGTGTTCAATACAGAATACCGGTAGAGGTTAATACCCCCCTCTAGCTTCAAACATACAATTTGTACATATTATGTTGTTGCTTATTTCTGTTTGTTTTTCTCAGGGGTGGATTAATTTCCTGTCACTCAGTCCAAATTCATTGTCAAACAAATATTTTCATATTTGCCAGCTACCAGTGACTTGCTTCAAATTTGTTTGGTAAAAATTTCTTTTAGAAAATGGAGAAACAGTAATGCAATGTTACAATTGATGATGGTAATGACTGTTCAAGTCGTATAATCCTACCTTTTTATTATTCCCAAGCAACTTTTTTCAATATTGTGTAAGTAACACAAAATGACAGTAAGGCCATGTTCATCTTTTGGTTAATTTCTAAGAAAGAGAATAATGAAACAATTCACATGTACAGTTAACAACTAAATTACCGGTAGTCGTCTGTATTTACTGGGTGTAAGCCAAAAATGTGTTAACACAATTAAATTAGTCATACCCCTTGTAAATTTGATGTTTTATCCTGTTTTCTTGTAACTTGAAAATGAAAGGTGGACTTTACCCTTTGTTGAATACCTGTAGATGTAAGCTTTGATATGTCACATTCTCAAGAAACATTAATCAGGATGAATCAATTTTTTCACATACTTCGTAAAACTATAAAACTTGTTGAGTCTATGATTAATTTAGTTGTTAAATGTATGTTCCACTTTTTGAATGATTTTACAGTAAGGTAGCTGAGAAATTCATTTATTTGTTTTTGTTTTTTAAGGGGGGGGGGGGGGTCAATTGGAATAATGTGTCTGTAACATGAATAGATGTGAATTTGAATATGCACAACTACTTTCCATTTTAATAATCCGTTGTCATTTTTTATGTTTCACATTATCAGTTTTGTGTTTTTGAGATACTGTTGAAAATGCTTTGTTCGCCATAACCCAAATCTTGACATACCTGAGACCTGTTTTTAATGTTTGTATCAAACAATACTATCAACACTAATGTGTTACAGTCAAACCTGTCTATAGCGACCGCCCAAGGGAAACATAAAAAGTGGTCTTTGTAGACAGGTTCCTTTATTACATGTTTCGATGAGAAACCATTTTCAAGGGAAACAAAAAATGTGGTCTTTGTAGACAAGTGGTTACTAAAGCAGGTTTGACTGTATTACTATTGTTTGATATTAAGTGGAATATAGGATCCCCCATCCCAATTGATAATTAGAATGAGAAATGTCTTGCCTTTCCATGATTGATTTTCCACATCAAAACACAGCTTTCCCCAAAGTAATTTTTGTTGAATATTGATAAGAGAATGTTGATATATTGGCATCTTCTGTATATATCATTAGAGGGATAATATGCATTGTGGTCCTAAAAGGATCCAAATGGAAATTGGAATTAAAAAAAAAGAATTATTGAGAATATTCAAGACGTTAAACGTCCTTCAGGTTTGATGGTTGCAGGATATGAATGTCGCAGACTTTCTTATTTTGTTTTTTGTTTCAATGTTTTGTTGACATGAATGACTTTCTTCACTTGGAGTGTAACGCCTAGATAATAACCCTTATGTATGATAAGATTGTGCAAAAAATTGAAATACTACGAGATGTGAGCTTTATGAATATTTTATGTGAAATTCTGAATAGTGTAAAACTTTGGTGAATTGTCGAGGATGGCTTTTTCACGGCAAGACACTTCTCAAATTTCAAGCGTTAAGTGTTGTCCATGGTGATTTAACTGTTTCGCAGCAAGATATTTTCGCAAATCCAAACCACATACAAAAATAAATTCTTAACATGTGGTGGATTTAAATTATAGTGTTGATCATCCCGAATTTATTTACATTTTTTCAAAGGGCTAAGAAGTTGCTTGGCAATGGAGAAAATGGAGATAGGATTATTGCACCCCTGGTATAGGAAATGTTCAAGGAAAGTTGAATGACATCGGTCTTGAAGGAGTCACTTTGCTCCCATAAATGTTTTTTCTTTTCTTTTCTAAAGTCAATTGATGCACTCGATTTGTTTTCAATTTTCCGCTAAATTCCCCTGCCTCACAAATCTATTTCCAATTATGTGTTCAAATTGATATAGTTATGTCTGTAGGCCAGTAAACAGTGTCATAGTTTAGCTCCTATATTCCTATATAGTATCATCAATCTTTTGTCATGTTGCTTATTGTTGCAATGTTTGTAAAACCTTGGACAAGATCAACACACTATGGCTGATTACAACAAGAAAGAATTAGACCAGCATCTTAAAGTTTCACCAATTTTTTGGCTTGTTGTAATGTTGGACAAACCTTTGACAACATCACCAAACTGGCTGATTTTTAAAGAACTGTACCAGTCTCTTATAACAGTCTTGTTCTCTTAATTATTAATTGAGGGGTATATAATTAAAATGACTATGTGTTCTCTATCTTTGTACAATACTGATATTAATGTTCATATTTGGGTTTCAATGATTAAAAAAAGAAAAGGAAGAAAAGTATAACGGTATTCAATGGATTTCTTGAAAGTTACGTGTAATAGAAATGGCTAATAAAAGAGTTTTGCTTGGCGACTTAACAGGCTCTGAAAAGGAAATCGATAGAACTGTGCAGCAAGTTATGGATCATGGGAAATATTTTACGAATAGGACAGGGCTTTTTTAACGATTGCTATGACGATGTTAAAAGGAGAGTGCTTTATGTGTACAATAGAAGTCTAGAAAAGAAATCTCCACATTTTTTCGTCTCATTCGTCAGGTCTCACAGTAATATGTACAGATGTAAAAAAAAAAATGAATTGAATTGTATCGGCAACTGATACTGTGCAAGAAGATATATGTAAACAACCCTAGGGCATCATGGATGAATTATGTTCATATTGTTTTTGTTATTAACTTTTTTTTTTTCCTGTATATTGTGCTCAATTTTGAGTTCATGCACATTGATCTTGATCGGTACATCATAATTTTCATGGGGAAAATGTTGTGTTGTTGTTTTCTTTTCTTTTGTGATCGTCTTAATTGTGAATTTGCGTTTCTATCAGCACTAGAAATCTATTTTGATTTTTAATTCTTATATTTTCTCTTTCTCTTCATTTCTACAATCACATCTATGCATCCTAGAGGTTATAGATTGTGGTAATTTATGGATTGTATAAAAGAAATTCTTTTTACATATGTTTCGCGTTGTATATGTTCATTTATTTCTTTTTTGCAAGAAGTAAATGCCAGTAGATAATAAATTTAAAGAGAAAAGAAAACGTTGATTATTAATAATGTGTTTAAAAAAAGTTGAGACAATAAAATTGATACCTATGGCCAATTTTAGACTATGTGAGTGTATGTGTATTGATTTGGGAATAAAAAAATGTATTTATGAGGAAAACTTGCAATAGGTTGGGGGAGAGAGAGAGAGAGAGAGAGACAGAGAGAGAGAGAGAAAGGGGAGTAAAGAGGGTTAGGGAGAAGATCGGAAGAGATGAGAATTTTTTTAAGATAAGGAGAGAAAGAAGAGAGTGTTCATTAATTAATTTTGCATACTGGCATATCAGATGAAGAAAATAGACCAATGGAGAAAAAAATAGTAGCAGAGAATTAGAGGGTGAGGGAGAAAATTCCCCTTCTTTACATGATTTTCTTTGCCTTTATTTTAGTATGCATATACACTGTATGGCAATAAACAACAATTTCGTATCCCAGTGTTAAACCACGCCCACATCGTCTTTTCTTTGGCTTCTCTGCGAGCTCGAGGAGATCCACTTTAGATTTTCAGGTGAGCGTTAGAACATGAAAGTATTACCTAATATGTTTTATGATAATGTTAATTTGAGGACGCTTGTGTGGTGTTTATCTACGCTTCATTACTTGTTTAAATTGTATAGAATTAGCTTACAGTGTACGTCAGTTAAAGTGCATTTTTTAATGATCGGTCCCACTCGTATATTTTTGTGTACTGCTCTTGGTATTGGTGATGCTAAATGAATTGCATTCCTGCAGATCTTTTGAGAGGGAACGTATACTGCACTGTTACTTCACATACTAGCATCGGTCTTAATCGGCTGACCAGGAGAAAAAACATACATATTTACATCTCTTGTTAGAGAGGGGGCAAGGATATTTATTGATCATTTGATGATGTCTTTAAATATTATTTATTGATAAATAAAAAGTTCCACAAAGCCAAAGGTCAAAGCAGCAAATAGAAATCTTCTTCAGATGAAATTAACATCAGTTAAAGATGAATTTATTTGAGATAATCATCGTTTACTTTATGCTAAGCTCTTTATTTTATTCATAATGTTTATATATTTGGTTTATTTCATCAAACTTTGTGCTTTATTCATTTAGGCCTATACGCTCTTTATTTTTCAGCACGACTACAATCTTCACAATATGTCATCTGCATCTAGTATGAATTCCTTGACCGTTGCCACGGCAGCAATCTTTGGTAGTCTCGGGCTGCTATGGCTCTACAAGAAGCTGAGATCGCAACGAAGGAGGGCGGGGCTTAAAGATAAGGTGGTACTCATCACAGGGGCTAGTTCTGGAGTAGGAGAGGGTGAGACACTAATCCAAAACTCAACATTGTCACTTTTTAAAGCTGAAGAGCGCAAGAGTTCTTTTCTTGGGGGGGGGGGGGGGGGGCATTTGAAGTATTTCTTTGAAAATATATTTCTTCATTAGGACAAGTAAAATTGATTCACAGTTTCTTGTCTGGATTTTTCAAAAATGAGGAGGGGATTCCATGATATTTTATATTTATATTTTTTTAAGCTGGTCGCGCCGCCACACATACAAATACTATTTAATGTGATACACATATTTTTTTTTCTCCAAATAAGGAGGAGGGGGGGGGGGGGAGTTCTGTCAAATAAAAATGTTATTGTATAACATTTTGATCATGTGTTTTTTAACGTTATCTTTCTTTATCTTACTCTTGCTCTTCAGCATGTGCTATAGCTTTCTATCGTCTTGGCTGTAAGGTGATTTTGTGTGCAAGGAGGGCTCCTGAACTCGAGAGGGTCAAGAAAGAGTTGATGGCCCTGAAATTGGTAAGTAAGTTACTTTGAACAACTGATTCCTGATCCTGATTACCAGATTTACTGGCACATACTTGTCCATAATCCTACATTTTGTCTGGCCATACTTTGCTCCAGTATTTTCTTGAGAGTTAATTCCTTATAAGGTTGTTCTTGGGCTGAGATACTGATGAGGGTAAGGTAGATTGTTGGTTCAAGGCCCTGTTTCATGAAACTTGTTATCACAGTAACTGTTATAAGCTACTGAAACTGTGGCATCTGATTGGCTGAGAGCAACTTTGTCATAGAAATTTAGCATTTGTTATTGATAACAAGTTTTATGAAACGGGGCCCAGGTTGAAGGTGGAGATTTAACTAGTATGTAAATTTGAGTTATGAAGAAGTTTTGCCAGAGTGTGAGTCGTACAATTCAAATGTCCTCTGAAGATCCATGGTTGAAGAAAAAAGAAGACAACAGCACTTTAATTTTTTTCTTTCTTTTTGTCTCATTTTACTGTGTGCACTTCATGCACAGACAGTATACACAGATGTGAATTATATAATTACATGTGATAACTTTCAGGGGCACTTCAAAGCAGTTATTTACTTTTTATTATAAACATTTTTCTAACGATAGCATACTATTCATACCCTTAAAAAATCTTTTACCAACTGCCATTAGCAATCATGTGACAAATTCAATGCCAGATGAAGTTTGTACATGATTGGTATCAATCTAGAGCATGAATGAATGAATTTACATACAGGTGTATGAAGTCATGGCTGTTCACACAGTTTATCTTATACGGAATGTCTATTTATACAAGTTTAGGCTTTGTACCAAACACACAAGCATGTATTATGTTAGATACAGGTGTACATGATAGAATAGTATGTAGCTTAAGTTGTACCTTTATTCAATATGCACAAATTGTTAAATGGTAAGATAATGTACTTTAAAGGTACTAGACATGATTAGCATTTTATGCTATTTTCTGTTCCCTATTATTCATTCAAGATATCTGTTAAACATACATTTATTATTGTTTGAACGTTTGGATAATAAAACCAGAACTCAACTCACTTTGTCTATCATGATCACAATTTAGGCTCCAGGCATACCAGCACACACACCCCATGTCATACCCTTGGACCTAGAGAGACTAGATGAGTTACCGGACAAAGCCAAGGAAGCCCTCGAGCTCCATGGCTACGTAGATATCCTTATCAACAATGGAGGCATGAGCGGTAGAGGGAGCGTCGTTGATACCGTTCTCTCCGTCCATCAGAAGATCATGAATGTCAACCATTTTGGCTCGCTTGTCCTCACATCAGGTAAGCTGGTTGGTGTGGTTTGGACCTTGGGGGTGTTTCTCAAAACTTGTCATGAGTGACAAACAACAGTTTTTGTTAAAAGCTACTGAAATCCTTGCTTCTGATTGGTTATCAACAGAGTTGTCACTGATTTTTGTCATTGGTTATTGAAAGAAGGCTTTGTGAAACGGGTCCCAGGACGGACAAGTTTGGGTCCTTTGGGCATGGGAAAGAAAAGATTATACATGAATGATAAATCATTAGCACACTTACAGGGCTGAACAAGAAGTGTTACTTTGAGATGTTTAGGATCAAAAATATTTACAAGACGAAATTATGCAGTGACCATTTATTACCCTCGTTGGTACCCATGTCGATGAGGAGATTTTACTGTTGGTGTTATTTACCTATGTCTCCCATGATTAGTACATGTATTAGCACTAAGGATGCCATGTCCATATGGGAACAAGACAACAATAATTCTTAGAATACTTTCCCATATATCATTCCTTGAGAAATACAATTTGGTATTATCAGTATAGATATATACCATACTACTATTGTCCAAGTGTTGTTGAATTGGAAGTGATTAATATACCATGCCTTCAGTGATAACTTTTGTATTTGATTTCTTTCACTCTAGCCATTTTACCAAATATGATATCAAGAAGAAGTGGACACATACTTGCAGTCAGCAGTATCCAAGGCAGGATAGCTATTCCTTTCAGGAGTGCCTGTGAGTATACAATAAATAATCCATCCTTTTGCTCTTTAAAGTTATTGCAAAGGCATCACTGAGAGAAACATTGGTTTAGAGAGGGAGAGGTTGTTTTAGGGCAAGTCCAATATAATCAACAATTTACATTATCAACTTCAAGTATATGCATGGTGGAGTTCTAAAGCATATTTTGATATCAGATGTGTCATCTCATATCACATCATCATCATCATCATTATTGTCACCAGTATTAACACTGTCATCATTTTCATCATCATCATCATCATATAGATATAGCCTGATAGATTGTGGAATGCTTTTGCACAGCTTAGGTCCAAAGAATTAGAAGGCTCTGTCACTTCAAGTTGTGCAACTGAGAGTTTCTGTCACAAGAGCTGTGTCTGCTGATCTCAGACTTATCCTTATTGTTGTTATCAACATTATATCATTTTGTTTCCAGATTCTTCACCATCATCACCATCATCAACAAATCATCATCATGATCATTATTATCACCCCCACCCACAACTATCATTATCATCTAAATCATCATTATCCTAAATACTGTTGTAATCAACATTTTATCATTAATTACATCCAGATTCTGCTTCCAAGCATGCCATGCAGGCCTTCTTTGACTCGCTCAGGGCGGAAGTTGCAGAGCACAACATCCAGGTCACCGTTCTCAGCCCTAGCTATATCAAGACCAACATCTCCTTGAGTGCACTCGATGGGGATGGATCTGTACATGCAAGTGAGTAATCCTGGATCCTGTTTCATAAAACTTGATATCAATAACAAGTTACAAGCTACTGTTATAAGCTACTGAAATCCTTGCTTCTGATTGGTTATCAGCAGATTTGTCACTGACTTTATTCATTTGTCATTGAAAAAAGGCTTTGTGAAATGGGCCCCTGGACCCTGTTTCATGAACTTTGATATTAATAACAAGTTACAAGCTACTGAAATCATGGCATCTGATTGGCTGAGAGCAAATTTGTCATAGAAATTTAGCAGTTGAGTTGTTATAAATGACAAGTTTTATGAAACGGGCCCCAGGTTCCTTCTTGGAACATGGGAAATTTCATGAATGAAATGGGCCATAAGTGACTTTAGTATACGAAAGATGCATTCAAATGCTACAGTTGCAGGTATATGCTGTGTAGCTTATAAAGGGGAAAGCAATTCCAACATCAAATGAGTTGTAATGAAGGGAGCAAAATGAAAGGAACAGATAGGGAAAACGTGAAGAAAATTAGTTACCATGTTTTATTAACATGATTTATCAAACACATATTGGCACCTCTGAATTCTCTTGAGAGCAGCTTTCCATAACTTCTGAACAAAACGTTTTGAAAATACATCGTCGTGAGAGATATTGTAGTTGGAGAAATGTGTGTGTGGGGGGGGGGGGGGGGGGGGGGGGCTTTCTGAGAATAGTTGTCCTGGAGGTATTGTCCTAGGAGCAATTTACCCAAGATGATATTTGTCTGGGGGTAGTTCTTCTGAGGTTACATCTAGTTCTCCTTGGGGGATAGTGAGGTGTGAAGTTGCTCGGAGGTGATAATCCAGAGATATTTTTTATAGAACTTATAGAACCCTTTTTTTCATTTGTTAGGATGATTAAAAGCCCATTGTCTTTATTAGGGTTTAAATGATTCAATGATTCAATATATAATTTATATTTTTCTTGAAATTAATAATGCATGGATATTTTTTGTACAAATCATAGAATCCTTTTCTTCATTTGTTTGGATGCTTAAAAGCCCATTGTTTAATATTAGGGTTTAAATGATTCTATACATAAATTTTTGTTTTGATGAATATCTTCTTCTTCATTTTGCCCTTGCAGAAATGGATTCCACCACTGCCGGTGGCATGTCGACAGTCTACGTAGCCGACAAGGTAGTTGATGCGGTTGCCAAGCAACAACGTGATGTAGTTTTAGGGCCCTTTACCCACGGTGCTGCAATCTACATCAGAGCTCTGGTCCCCAATCTCTACTTCTGGATCATGGCAGGGAGAGCGAGGAAAGGAACGAAAATGGAGGATTGATGAAGGATACAGAAAGGGACCTTAATTTTGCCAGATTTGAAATTGAAATCGTCCTTAATCGCCCTTGTTAGTGAACAAAAATAAATGGGAAGCAAGATTTTATGGAGAGTAATTTTCCTCTACCGTAGTTACATGGTTACCATGATCAACTATTTCATGTATTGTAGAGTTGTTCATATCATCGACAGAATATAATTCCAATTTTGAACAGATGCTTGTTTGCCTATTTTCCAAAACTAAATGTTAATCTGTCTTGAAGTTTCAAGGTGTTTCTTTGTAATAAAAATTCTAGAACTTGATAATTTTTTCCTCACTTCTTTCACAACCATGTCAAATGTTCAATAGAAGATTTACAAGACAAGCACTAACAAAAAGAGGTGGGGGTCACAAAAATGCTCCAAACTGTCGTAGTTGCAACATACTGCAAACAAATTATTATTATTAGCCAGATGCTTATCTCACCACCCCTTTATGCCACCTAAATATTTTTTGTATTACTTTAATTGATTAATATTCATGATACCTGGGGCATTTCAAGAGCTTTTTGGACGTACAGAACTAGAGCATTCTCCTGTTTTTATTGATTTATTTTACAAGATTGATCCATGTAACAGACATACAGTATAATGTATTTGTAATTTGTATGTTTTATATAACATGTATATAATAAATATGCAATTATATATAATTTTTTTTAGACACCATTGTCATTTATACAGTAGGCTTGCGGGTGCACCATGTGAGAGAGAGAGAGAGGATTTAGTCATTGTTAAATACATACTTAACATGCATTTTAACATGCATTGTTATATTTATCAAAGATAATGTATGAGGGGTGAGGAAAGAAAGTGTAGAGAAGACAAAATTGTGAGAGAGGTAAGGAGTGAAAGAGGGTAATAAGAGGGGGAGAAAGAAGAGAATGAATATTGAAGTACATGGAAGGGAGACTACCTTGGTCATAGAATGCGCGAGAGAAGAACATTTCAAGAGAGAAAGAATTTGTTTAAAGATGGATTGAGGGGGAAAGGAGACCAAATATTGCTGATGTGTTTACAACAAAGTGAGGTGAACAATGAACAATAAAGTAAAATCAAAGCACCCCAGATGTAAATTTCATTTCATTTTATTTCCAAGTTTCTTTCTGTACAAATGTAACAGATTCATATATTGTATTTCTTCACTTTAAAACATATTACATGTATTTTTTCCTCGCCATTGCCATTAGATAGCATCCCTCAAAAGTCGCGTTCATTAATACCTTTTTACAATTCTCATCAAAAAGAGAAAGAAAAATGTACAATTCTTGTCAATAAACAATACATCATTCCACTCATATTCAGTCTTCACTACCTGCAAGAATTTAGCAATCTTTACACTCGTTTACAGATACATGTATGTTCACTTGAGAATAAACCTTCCAATCAATTTCATCTTGCAACAGATTTTGAGTACTTTTTCAAAATTTCAGGAGTTACATCCACATTCGACCCCTGTGCATATATTCATAATCTGTGTGAAATATTCACGACTGTATCCAACTGGAATTTAAACCAGACCATCATCGACTTAAACGAGAGTCCTTGATATCACTTTTTACTTCACTTAGATGTAGGTCCAGTAAAGGGCTGCACATGACGAGCAGAATACCGATCACAAATTTTAAAATCTTGCACATGCATTCATGTTGCCTACTAGATAGTCATATTTCATACACTGCAATTTGATGGTGGGTTACACCAATAGAGATATCTCTTTATTATACCTTTATCGCACAAAGGTTGGTACACTATAATCCCACTCATTAACACCACAAACAAAGGCAGCTTGTTTAAAGAACAAGCTTTCCTTGATAAATGTTTACAATATCAGATAACATCTGCAATAATCCCCACATATTTGAGGTCCTGAAGGTATGTAAGTGTGTTTTCCGTTTTCACAGACGTGTATCAATCAGATATGATTATTTACGTCTGGGGACCGACCTTAACCCTTTGCCTCCAGGAACCTGGGGGGTGTTTCACAAAGATCCTAAGTAGAACTTAACTCTAAGTTGGACTTAAAAATTATGGACAGCCATTGGAGTCTTTAAATGAAATATATTCAAAAGCAGAAATTCAAGTATTTTAGACTTTTTGTTAATTCCACATCCAGAACATGAAATCTCCTTGATGATAGAAAATATGAATGATTTCAATAAACAATGAATGCCTTTCAAAATAACTTTTACAAAATATTTTCAAAGATGCTAATGGCTTTCCATATTTTTTAAGTCCAACTTAGAGATAAGTTCAACTTAGGATCTTTGTGAAACACCCCCCAGGTGGTTCCTGTACTAAACCTATGGGAAGGAGATAATTCAGTAGTCAATGGGTGAAACAACCTTTAAAGATACTTGCACAATACATGTGGGTACATGTATGTCACATCATAATATCATTGCTTTTGTTTACCTGCTGTCTCAATAGCCAAGGTCAAAGGTTATCTGACAATCTACAATAAAATATTCAATCCAATACTGTAAAACCAGAGATTTTTGCAACATGAAACTAGTATCAAGAAACTTGTCTATTTTGTGTAATGATAAATTCATTTTTTTAAAATTTATACGAGACAGTTACAAATCACAAAATTTGCAAAGATTTCATGCATCAATTTTCTGGTTTTACAGTACATAGTCATAACTGCTTGTACCGGTACACACAATAGTATTTCTTGGTGACATCAAAGCACATGAGGCTCATCTGACATAGCAACAACCAACGTATACATGGTAGATTCCATCCATATGGCAATGCATGCTGCAGAAATGGATAATTACTTTGTAATCCGTTGTCTTGTCTGCAGAGTATTGTACATGTGCATTGAGATTTCATGTTGAATACACACAAGTAACTCTCAAAACCTACAGAACATTATTAAATATCAAGGATGTAGATACTGATTATGGAGCCGTGATGTAACGCATACCCAATAAAATGTCATTTTTCAGGAATTTCCTAAGTTGATGTCAGGTCACAGATTCAACAGCATGCCAAAATGAACTGACAATGCATGTACAGACATTATACATGTACATGTAGCCTGTATTCCTGCGAAAGCAACAACTTGAAAAAATGTGTTTCCCTGACTCCTGGTTATGCATTAAAATATATTATCTGTAGATGAAATTACAGTCAAACCTGTCTTTAGCGACCGGAAAAACAAATAAAGTGGTCTTTAAAGACAGGCTCCTTTAGTACATGTTTCAATAAGAAACCGCTTTTGAGGGATACAAAAAATGTGGTCCCTGTAGACAGGTGGTCACTAAAGCAGATTTGAATGTATATCTCCTTATACAGAATACAGTACTTGTGTGTAATGATGGTCTAATGTGTACTATGAAGAAATTGTGTGAGAAAAAAGATAGAGAGGCCACACCTTGTTACATAATTCAATTCCAGTAATGGGAAAATACTGATCAAAAGTTCAAAAACATCTACAAATTAGTGCAAGAAGCCTCTTCGAATTTCCAATGCATCAGAAAAATGGTAGGTTACACATTAATTATGATACATGTAATTATCATTTTGATGAGTGTATTGTTGACTCAGCAATTTAATACAGACACAATAGTGAATAGATAGACATAATACTGAATGTTTGAAAACAGTGAGGGATATCTATTCCAAGATAATATTGGGGAAGCAAATCAACTATCAAATCTATTCCTGTAGCGTTTAAAGTTACGAAGCAAAAGCTGTATTGAAAAGCAAAGTTCAGAAAAGTTTTATTACTAACAGAATCAGCAAATTAGTCATTTAATAAATTTGAGAGGGAACATTTCATAAATCTCAGTCTAAATGTACAAGTATATCTCAATCTATCTTGGCTCAGGTTTTCTTCCCATTTACATATCCATGGTAATCTTGGGGGTTCAGTTTGAGCTTAAACCATCATGGATAATCCATATGGGATTACTGGGTGTTCGCAGGGGTGTTAGCGGAAACCCCTGGATACCCTTACAAATCTGCGGATCATATCTCAGACATGGATCATTTCAAATGACTCACTTCTCATCATCATAAAATTTTATATCTCTTGTAAGGGCACGTACATGCACACTAGTACAAGCCCCAATACACCTCAAAATTGGGCATATTGTTTTATTTGAGAAAACTCGCTATGGTTCGATACTTTACTAAATTGCACACATGCTGGTATGTAATATATGTATCTCCTTACTCTCATAACAGAATAAGTGGAAGAACCCCCCCCCCCCAAAAAAAAAAAGGAAGAAAATCAAATACAATGTAGTAATATATCTTTGCTCTCATTAATAATGGCCTATGCACTGTGCAGCAGTAACTGGATAGCTAAATATAGGGTACGGACATGTACAGAAGACACTCTATGTAATTATAGTTGCTCAGATGGTATTGCTGTACTTCATCTTCTTGCTGGTACATGTTACAGATATACATGTAGACTGAACTGTACTTTTACCATCCAGTTGCATACTGTACAGGCCAAAGAGTGTCGAATGTATTAGCTATCTGGCTATGTATCTACAAAGTAAATACATAAATGTAGAAATCTGTGCATTACTGCATTCTATTCAAGTATATATTTTTTTTTTCTTCTTCTTCTTCTTCTTCTTCAAAATAATCTGCCTCCTTCACTGCTGAAGATTCTTGCAGATGTGTGCGAGTGCATGTGTGTTGCGACATGGGGATGTCCAGGTGTGCAGGTGAGAGGTGTATATATACATTTACCAAGGGGCCTACTGGAGGGAAACTTTAATTCAGGTTTTCAACAACTCCTTAGGACCAAGGGAAATTACCTTGTTAAATCCTCGACATAATCAGGGCTCATGAATGACATAATTACACATACGAGGGATCTCCATAATTACTTTGTTACAACAAGAGTGAAGTTGTGCTCTTTATAGCAAGGCTCCACTGTATCTCACACATACCGGTATATATTTACCCACTGACTGACCCACTACTAAACTACAGTGTCTTAAAGGTTACAAAGGAAACATTATTCTGCTATCTCTTGTAGGCTCTTCCTTCCTGAACACGTTATCATGGTCAGTGAAACAGGAGTGGGATCACCGCATCTCGCAGACCTAGACCTAAGAGGCTGTTCACACCGGCAGCACTATCTCTACGGTTTGGGAGGTACAACGTCGTTTCGGTCCGCCCAACAGCGAGCCACGGCGAGCCAAAACGACGTGCCACTGGAGCACATCTTGGGGGTGGTCCACGAGAGATAGCGCGGTCTAGGCGGTCTAGCGCGCGCTAGAAAAAAAGGGGTGCTACGGTAAACCGCGCTATCTCATTGCGGTGTGAACAGCCTCTAAGACTTCCTCTTCCCTTGTCTCTATTTACCTGGTTTATTTTTTAACACACTTGGTGAAAATTGAGTGCACTTGCCTTGCAATTTCAGGGCGAATGATCTAAAAATAAAGTTGAGTTCAGGGGGGTGTTTCACAGAACTTGTTATCAGTGACAATTGACAGTTTTTGTTATAAGCTACTGAAATCCTTGCTTCTGATTGGTTATCGGCAGATTTGTCACTAATTTTTGTTATTTGTCATTGAAAATAGGCTTTGTGAAACCCGTCCCTGGTCATGCGATTGCGATGTAAAAGAATTTAAAGTGATTGGAAATTTTAATCATGTAACAGATAAGTATTGGTGTGTAATAACGTAGTGTCGGAAAGTGATCAAAGAGCAATTGTCATAGGAGCGTACATGTAAAAGAACCCATACATGTATGTCTGAGCCAATCCATCAAAAATTACTCATCCCTCATTGGAGATGACATTTCTAACCACATTTTGCTCCCTGCTCAGACTACGATTCATTACTCAATTTGATTTGGGGTGATTTTCAAAAGTACATTGCACTACGAGCAGGCTCAAATAATCTTTTATCAAGCTACCATTATTTCACTGTTTTATAAAGCCATCTACAAACTACAAATTCATTCATGTGCTCTATCTAGCATCAGCATGTATAGCTCGTAAAATGCAAAGAACCCGCTTGAGTTGAAAGAAAAATGAAGAAATGGAAGACAAAATATCACCACTATCAACAAGCCTAAAGACCTCACATCTTAACAGAATTGTACTTGGTAAGTGCTATAAAAATATTAAAGGTATACGTTATGCACACACAAAAAATAATGGAAATCAAGTACATGTACATGTATTGATGTATATGGCCCTTTTGATGATGTATTTCTTAAATGTAACATTTTCCAGGAAAAATCAGACTATTAAAGATTGAAATTCAGCAATTAGTAGACATACAGTGAATGACTGCACAAATCAAGTTGGCTACATGAATATTTTAGAAACCTCAGATCTCATTTTGATACACATTACAGTACACTGGCTTCATTTCTCAGTTGAATATGAATACGTTAGCACTTGGCAATCAAAATGATGTACATATAGGCCCGATATAATCCTTTTCGAACTCTATCAAATATTCTCAGCAACAATGATGATTCACAGATGGCTAATTCGCAATGGAGGTAATGGAGACTGAAAATGAATGATTTATGTACTACAACGATGGGCTTTCCACAAAGATCCTAAGTAGAACTTAACTCTAAGTTGGCCTTTAAAATTATGGAGAGCCATTTGTAGCCTTAGAGTAAAATATATTCAAAAGCGAAACATCAAGTAGGCCTATATATATATTATTAGATTTTTTATAAATTCCATCAAGAACATGAAATCTCCTTGATAATAGAAAATATGAATGATTTGAATCAGCATTTATGCCTTTTAAAATAACTTTTACAATTTTTTTTTCAAAGATGCTTACTGTTTTTCATAATTTTTAAGTCCAACTTAGAGATAAGTCCAATTTAGAGATAAGTTCAAGTTACACTGTAGGATTTTTGTGAAACACCCCCCCCCCCCCCCCAGGCCTCTCATAGGATGTCTCCTTGAATAAAACCTGATTGCAATAAGTTACAATTATTCATCATCCAAATTTTTAAACACACACCCTTTGAAATACATTTAACAAAACAACACATAAAATGACACACAAGTACAAGAGTAGTCAATCAGAGAATAAATTCCAGGCTCATCAAACAGTAAATCCATCCTCCTCCATCTTTGAACAGTTCATCTTTCTCTTTATTCCTTCTTTCTCTACGTTCCTTCCTCTCATCTGGGCAATGGCAAGTCGACCTGATCATCATAACAGAACTCACTTTGACAGTTATTCCTTGCAAGCTCCTCTAACCAACAGTTCAGAACCTCCTCAGGCGATAGGAGTGAATGAAAATGCTAACAAAAGTGATTCTTCTGAACGTTGTGTTAGCGAATGCACCATTGGTAGACTTTGTACGCCAGTAGAGCTGCGGCTAGCCCGGCTACCAAGTTGTGAAGGGCTTTCCTGTATTTATCGTCTTTCCGAACCAGAACTACGGGCGTGGCCGTTGTCAGGGAATGAAGTGGAAGCCGTGACAGATTCCTTGTGTCGTACTCTACCTGATACTTGCAACATGGGTCCGACTGCCACGACACTCCGTATAGAAGAGCGCAGGCCACACTTACAGTCCCCGTCGGGAAGGTGACAAAGTTTACTGCCTGATTAGGGAGCAGGGCTGGCGCGACGAGGCAAGCCATGCCAGAAAGGACGGATGTCTTATGCAAGCAGTTCCCTACTGTGATCCAACGAGCGGTCTCGTCTCCCAGGTGAGCGGGTTCTATAATGATGATACTGCGTTTGGCCTCGAGGGCCTGGTCCAGCTCAAATTCAAAGTGCTCCCTCGCACTGCCATTGTCGTAGATGTTGTGGATGATAGCACAATCCACGGGCTGCACGTCCCTGGAAGTAAAGTAAAGGCAAGTCAAAGCTGAATAAATAGACATCAGATATGACCTTGGCATAAGAATTACATTTGATGCAGAGCTACCAAGTATCACGCATTAGGTGTGACATCACGCATTTCGAGGGTCTGAAAATGCTCTTACGCACGACGCGCGCTAGATTTTGAAAAAACGCTATACCTTATACGTGTGTTATACTCTCGCACGCGCGCTTGTGCGCCGCAGGGAAAAAAATACACGGGGGCTCGGGGCGAATTAGCCCCCGAAATGCCCAAAAGGGCCCCCGAAAGTCTTAAAAGAGCCCCCAAATTTTGCATAGAGTTCAATGCAAAACAAATTAGAGAGTGTTATTTTCATGCAAGCAAGCTTGAAAAGTAGCCCCCGAAATTTTTAAAGTAATTTTTTCCCTGGTGCGCCGAATCATGAAAATATCACGCATTGCCGATCTTTAAACTTGGCGTCTCTGTTGATGTACCCTTAATAGTTCAGACCACCTGCAAATATTAATGGTGGCAAGTACTATTTTATGAATAATTTTGTCCAATCTGAAGGCAAGAGTAGGCTTTTTGTTGTCCAGAAATCCAAGTTCCAACCCCTCATACAAAAAATAAAAAATTAAGTTGGAGAAAAGGTCAATTCATATTCTAAATTAAAAAATAACATTGTTTGTAGTACTAGTACTAGACCTTACCCCAAAAACCAGAAATGTGCTGTGAGACCGAACAAGTTCCTTGACATCTTACTTCATGGCACATTTTCGACCATCAATTATATATCTCTACAAATTTTGTACACAATGTCAATGTCAAATCAAAAGATTTCAAAATGAACTTCATAATATTAATAGATCTAATCATACTTTTCTTCTTCTTTCCTCTACCTACTTAGCTTGACCCGACTGATAACCACATTTAGTTTTAATTGTGATAATTCTTAAGGTACACTTACTCCTTAAAACAAAAACAAAAAAATTCATACAGACAGTACAAAAATGCACTATTTTTCTTGTTTTAAAGGCAGACTTTACTAACCGGCTCCTTTAGGCTTTACTCTACTTCAGCAGAAGGGATTAGACCACACAGCGAGCCAGCGAGGTCACTGTGACCGGTGGCTATCTCATTAACTCAGCTCTGATTTAACATAAGAAAAAGAGGATCATGGGGGACCAACAGGCACCGATTGGGGAAGTTTTCTATATAGAGGGAGCAAGAAGCTACAAGTAGGACAGTGTGCCTTTAATTTAAGATCATGAAACTTCCATTTCACACAAGCGCCAGCGCCAATCATCATGATCATGCCAATGCCATTACAACTCACACAAACAACTGACTGCAATTCGCTCTAGCAAGAGCAAAGCTTGCAAGGTCTTTCATTTCATATGCTCTTAAATCTCTATCATTACAAGTTAATCCAGCTACCTTAATGAAGGATGGAATTTTACAACAAAATAATGTCGCGTTACCAAAGAAATAATGAACAAGCATAAAGTAATTCGAAATATTTTTTACCTCTCGGTCTCCGCCATTGTGTATCAAAATGAGCTCAATATTTCAGCTGACGTTAATCGCACATTTACCATAGATGGCGCGCTAGTAAAAAAACAGAGGTCGGCTACCCTGGAGATTCGAGAGAGAGGATAAAACTGCATCATTTTTGTTCCTGCGTGATCTCTTTCAGTCTCCCACTCCTTTTCTCAAACATAGTTACATTTTTATTCCCATCTTCTAGTCTTTTACTTTCTTATAGCTTTTCTTTCATTCTTCAGCTTTCCCGCCTCTATCCAATTCCTTGTTCTTTCTTTCCTCACTGCCCGTGGTAGCCAATTTGAATCCTATCTGGCATCCCTATAAAAAAAAATTAAAAAAAGAGAACTAATAAAATAATGAAATGCTTCATGTTTTTTTCTTTCTCGGACCTCCCTTCTCTGCGTGAATTTTCTAATTCTCCGCGGCTATGCCCAAAACTTGATTGAGGTACAGTACGTATGCCAGCTAAACCAATACAAAAAACATCAATGAAAAGAACCTTTATCATGTTTATAGGAATTAAAGTGATGGATGAAAAATGTTGGCATTTGGGAATATGCCTTGGGAAATTATATACCGAACCAAATGCCGAGAGTATTTGATTGTTAATAATACAAAATATTAATATTAACTAAGAAACTAAACGTGGCAGAAAACCGTGAAGAGGAGATAGTTGAGGAAGGCCTCAAGAAGAAGAAGAACAAGAACAAGAAATAGGAGGAGGAGGAGGAGGCGGATTGAGGAGGAGATAGGAGAATACCGATCGAAGCCAGAAGAAGAAGAAATGAATCTAAAGTACTGAAAGATGAGGCGGAGTAGGAAAAGGACAGAAGTAGAAGGAGGATAGGAGGAGGAGGCCGGAGGAGGATCGAGGAGGAGGAGGATCGAGGATCGAGGACGGGAGGAGGAGGTCTCGAGGGGGAGGAGGAGGAGGAGGAGGAGGAGGAGGAGGAGGAGGAGGAGGAGGAGGAGGAGGAGGAGGAGGAGGATGAGGAGCCTAGGAGGATGAGGAGTCTAGGAGGAGGAGGAGCCGCCCGTTAGAACGAGAGAGATAGAGAAAGAAAAACAAAATGGGATCTAATAAAATGCTCATAATATGAGAACATGAAGAAATTAGAAAAATAGGCCTATTATATAGCTCCGGGGGGGGGGGGGCGGGGTTGTGCTGCAATGGGACGCCTTTTCTTCAGGATATAGCTACCATACAAGGACATGGAATAAACAACCGAAAGAAATTCAATAGGAAGGGGGAGAAAAATCCAATGAGTATGAAAAGGTAGAAAAAATAATAAGGATGCTGAGATAAACACCAACCCCAACCCACCACAACCACTTATCAATGCCACCCCCCCCCCCTCCAAGCTCGAGCTCAAAGTCTTTTATATTGTATACAGAGATACTTTATTGTACAATACTTCTGTAGTATATTAGATGTGTATGTTCATAGTACTACTACGTAGAAGGTCCATGGTATGTTCCTTGAAATCGTGTAAAAAAAAAAGAAGTGAATTCTTTGAAATGCTAAAGTATGGTGAATACGAGCTTATTGTAGACTTGAAGCTCAAATAGATATTGAATGCTGTAAAATTCACCATGAGTTTAACCTTTTAATAAGATTTAGTTGCATCCGTAGTTACTACTCATGTACTACGTGTTTAATGGGCCTGAATAACCCCTCTTTGTAATTGCACTTTCATGATTCCGCGAGCGAGCTTACGTGACGAAGACGAAGTGTTTTTCATTGTACTCTTTGGAGCTGTAGTTTTAAAACCTTTTCTATCCGGATCCCTGAAAACAAAACCATCACAATGTCAGATTCTGGTGATTCAAACCGCAAATCTGGACATTTTGCCTGCTTGATTCTCGCTCGCGGTGGAAGCAAAGGCATAAAATTAAAGAACATCAAAGCGTTAGCTGGACAACCCCTCATCGCGTGGGTGCTTCGCGCCGCCATAGATTCGGGAGGTAAGTGCTCTAGCGCTCCGTAGGTACAGTAGGTGTGCCGATGACACGCCTCCAGCTCCAGTCTGAGAGTCAGACTCACTCAGTGCTAGAGGCAGAGCCATAAATTTAGTCGATACGTATTCTAGAAATGGTGTCAACGCCCATGGCCATCACTATGAACATGACAGACAATGAAAGCGGACAAAATATACAGTTCCTCAGGTAGACAAATGGACATCCCTTCACTGCTATTATGTAAAATGTGTAGAACAGGTGTCACATGCATATTCACCTGTTCTACACATTTTTACATAATAGCAGTGAAGGGATGTTCTTTTGTCTACCTGAGGAACTGTATATTTTGTCCGCTTTCATTGTCTGTCATGTTCATAGTGCATATGGTACTGTGGCTGTAACAACTTGCAACTGCATTGAAATAGCATATTCATTGTTTGTGTACACACCCACACCCACTTTCAGGTTTAATCCTAAGTACAATGTGAATGTTGTCTTGTAAATGTATGCTGGAGGTGGAAACTGTATGGAAGTCACAGTGGTGATTGATTGGCACTGCATTCCATTCCATTGGCATTAGACCATTTCGGTATTGTATTCAAATTCAATGCATAAATCGTTGTGAAGTCAAGCGCCCATTTACCATTACAAACGATTTCATTCAACTATTGAGAATAAATGCATTTTAATTTGCATTCTGACAATTGAAATAAAATTATTTGTAACAAGATTTGTGTGTTAAATTTGATTACATTATGAAAATGGCATATTATTACAGATAATCATGATAATGTCAATGAAGCTCATGATTTGTGGAGTGAATGCATGAGTAGTGGACGTGGTGGTGTATTGTGGACGAGAATGCCACCTCACTCTCTTTGTGGATTACGAATATGTTATGAATATGATTCTTTATAAGGTGGTGTATAGTCTCCACTGTCTAAGCGTCATTTACTCCTAATGCACACAGTAGCAGTTTTAATATCACAGATAATCCAGTCTGCGGTGAAGAGAAAAACAAAAAGGAGATGAAGAAGAAAAAGAGGATGAGAGGGAAAAGTAAGAAGAAAAAAGAAGAAGAAGAAGAAGAAGAAGAAGAAGAAGAAGAAGAAGAAGAAGAAGAAGGAGAAGGAGGAGGAGGAGGAGGAGGAGGAGGAGGAGGAGGAGGAGGAGGAGGAGGAGGAGGAGGAGGAGTAGGAGGAGGAGGAGGAGGAGGAGAAAATAATTAAACGAAATCAGTGTTAGTAAGATTGAATTAAATCTAACCCTGAGATGAGATGACGTGATAATAATGATGATGATGATGACGAAAAGGATGCTAAAAGCAAAAGTACCATAGCAAATAAAATTAGTCTGAATGTTCAGAAATATATTTTTCTGAATGAGATCAATGTTATGGTAAATGATTTTCTATCACATCACTAGGCAGAAGGCTGAGAATCAAATTGCTTCAACAATATTGTAGTGCAAAATATGGACAAGTTTAAACAAAAATAGAAGTGGACATGATCATGTACATAAAGTAGATTTAATTGTCAATGTTCATGTACATGTATGTATTTTTATACACTTTTTATTTGTGGAATACAGAATATTGAGATGCATTGCCCTATGTCATTGTCTGTGATATGGTATGATAGTGCAGCGGCTTAGTAAGAAAATTGTGCACTTTTTGAGAAAAGCATGAAACTTCCAGCATAGTTTGCTTTCACCATAAGATTTATTTTCAGATGTGGAGGGAAGTCAGATTTGACCTCTGATAACCCTGAGAGGTCAAATCCAAAATGGCCACTAGTCCGCATGGTCTAATGTACAAACACGCTTAACTTTTGAACCAAATACACCAGAAAAACGTTTAAGGTGTCATTTCCAACTAACTTGGGGATGCCAATTCATTTGGTAATACTTTTGAGATCACCTGAACTCAGGGTTTTGCATTTAGGTCAAGGTCAAGGTCAAAATTGACTAGAAATAGCAAGTTTTGAATAGTTACAAAAGGTTAAATCTCATTTATTTGTCATTTGTTCTCAAATTTATTTAGGAATGGTTCACCTGCATATTCCGCCACCTTAATCTTTTTCAGGTAGTTTATTTCACAGTTTGATTTGACCTCTGATGACCCTGAGAGGTCAAATCCAAAATGGCTGCCAGTCCGCATGGGCTAATGTACAAACGCGCTTAACTTTTGAACCAAATACACCAGAAAAACGTTAAAGGTGTCATTTCCAACTAAATTGGGGATGCCAATTCATGTGGTAATACTTTCGAGATTGCCAGAACTCAGGGTGTTGCATTTAGGTCAAGGTCAAGGTCAAAATTGACTAAAATAGCAAGTTTTGAATGGTTACAAAAGGTTAAATCCCCATTATATGTCATTTGTTCTCCCCTATGTTCTTAAATTTATTAAGGAATGGTTCCCCTGCCGAGTCCTCTACCTTAATCCTTTTCAGTTAGTTTATTTCACAGTTTGATGTGACCTATGATAACCCTGAGAGGTCAAATCCAAAATGGCAGCCAGTCCGCATGGTCTAATGTACATGTACAAACGTGAACTTGAACCAAATAGTCTAGAAAAACGTTTAAGGTGTTATTTCCAACTAACTTGGGGATGCCAATTCATTACGTAATACTAAGAGATCGCCAGAACTCAGGGATTTGCAATAAGGTCAAGTTCAAGGTCATATTAGGTCAAAAAAGTGATGTTTTCTTTTTTTTAAAATAAACTTTGCCTCTATTTTGACACTTAAGGGGTCATTATTTTATAAATTAATAAAAAGACCCGTGTACAACCACTTTGACCATCCAGGGCAAAATTGTATATAGCTGCTTATCGGCTGGTTCTGTGCTAATGTATGAGTTTCTACTTCATAGCACTGCTAACCGTAAGCACACGAAAGTGGATTAACCTTACGCTGCTTACTGGACGAAAATGAATTTCGTAACAATGCACATTCATTGTGAACGCACAAGGTGGATGCCTTGTTTTCTTACTAACCAAATTCGTCTGCTACAGTTATAGCACGAAAATTTGCAAAAAAGCTATTCCAAATACGACCTAAAACCTGTTCATTACCACAGCTATAGATATCCACATGTATTTAGCACTGTCCACAACTTATGTATATCCTAATGGTAACGATCAAAATCTAACAGTCTCCAGAACAAGAGCACAATATTCAGTGCATCCTTTCTTGCAATTTCTAGAAATGGATTCCCTATCTCTTTCAGTACTGTCAGAACTTCCCATCCTCAAGAATGCTAACTGCACTCCAGGTTGCTGGTCATGGTGATGTTGTCTAGTGTTAGCAGAACCGTTATTTTGCTTTATGGCCTGTTCCTCAAACTCTGTAGGGATCCTTTAAATTACTTAGAACCAAATAAAACCCAAAGTAACTTAAAGAACATCTTACCAGTATTACTGAGCAGTAATGGAAAGGAGCAGTTTTCCTGCCTTGAATTGAGATTTTTGCCGTATACTGCCTAGCTGCCAGGGCTCAAATTAATTGTTTGTCCACGGGGGCTCTTCCCCCCCCCCCCCCCCCCCCCAAAAAAAGAGCCCCCGTGAGAAGGCTCACGGGGCTCTTTTATTACTGACGGGGGCTCTTTTTTTATACAAATATCCATTGAATTGGTACCTACACTGTATGATACTCCTCAATTATTTGCTATTTTTTCATTATCATTTCAATCAGCATTTTCCCTCTTAGAAATTTACAAGCTACATAGCTGTTACTGGCCTGTGTATATAATATATACATCTTTATGATGTCTTTAACGTGACATATCTTCTTCTCCCCTTGCAAACGTAAAAGTAAACAAGGTCATTAAAAGGGATTAAGCGACAATTAATGATTATGATTCAAATTGATGCGAATATTTGTTTGAATAAGCACTGCTATTCACCCAAATCTTCTTTGTAAAAACAACTTTTCTCTCTCTCTCTCTCTCTCTTTATTTTAATCATGCATTATCAACTACATATAAAGCAGCAACCAAAGGGGGCCGGGGGGGGGGGGGGGGGGGGGGGGGGGGGGGGGGGGGGGGGGGGGTGGGGGGAGGGGGTTAAACCCCTAACCCCCCCCCCCCCCCCCCCCCCGCGTAGATCTGCCCATGTTACCATATCATTCAACGACATTTTGGTCTTCCTCTTCTCCTCAAAAGGGACTTTTCGATTTGCGTGGACGTGGACGTGTTACGTCCTTTTAAGGCACTGGCAGTCACATGTGACGTCCTTTTAAGCACTGGCAGTGCCTTAAAAGGAGGTCACACGTTGCAGTCCACGTTCTCATCGTGCAAATCTAAAAGTCCCTAATATTGATTTACTGGTCGAGGTTCATTATTTGCTGACAACGAAAAACTTCTCCAGGCCATGACCATGTTTCTGCCCTTGCGAGATCGCCTCCAGCTCCAGCAAACGCAGCGCTACTAACGGCGCAGTAGGCCTATAACCACTGCTGACGGCGGCACTGCACTGCGAGCTGAATCGGTAATACTAGGCCTACTCATAAAACGAGAAATCTTGCATGCTAATCTTAGTTCCATTTCATTGGTTTAAGGTTTGAAAATTGAAACTCAATATTGTGTTAAAGTTATAACAGAAAAGATAATCTTTATTTTATAATTCTACCGGGGCGATTTTTAATTTTGCAATTGCCCCCGTGAGCAACCTGACGGGGGCGATTATGTAGCTCACGGGGGCGAATCGCCCACCGCCCCCGTGTATTTTGAGCGCTGCTAGCTGCCCACTGACCATGCTATATGCAAATGGTCAGTTACAAGACAAATAATGGTTTGGTGCTATAATTAGTGAAATAAACTAACTGATTATGATGAAGACTATGCAGGGGAACCACTCCTAAAGAAATTTGAGAACATAAGGGGACAAAAAAATGAGAAAACTTTTTGTAAACATTCAAAACTTGCTATTTTTTAGTCAATTTTGACCTTGATCTTGACTTAATGCAAAAGCCCCGAGTTCTGGCGTACTAAAAAGTATTACCAATTGA